ATCAACTGCGAGCAAGTGCTGGGTGTGAACCTCATGAACCGAGGCAACTACTACTGGGAGGTGGAGCTCATCGATGGCTGGGTCAGCATTGGCGTCATCGCTGAGGTCTTCAACCCACAGGACTCCTATGATCACAGCCGCCTGGGCCGCAACACGTGGTCCTGCTGCCTGCAGTGGAACGGGCAGAACTACGCTGCCTGGTTCGGTGGCTATGAGTCTGTCATCCAGCAGCCCTTTTTCCACACCATCGGGGTCTTTTTGGAGTATTCGGAGAAGGCTTTGACCTTCTATGGAGTCAAGGACTCCAAGATGACGTGCCTGAAACAGCTCAAGGCCGGTTCCTTTGGGAAGGCCCAGTTGGACTCTTTCCAGCAAAAGATCAACCAGCAGTTTGCAGCTCTGTTCTCCTTCAAGCTGAAACCCGCCTTCTTCCTGGAGAGCGTCGATGCCCACCTGCAGATCGGGCCGCTGAAGAAGGATTGTGTTTCGGTGCTGAAGCGCAGGTAACTGCCCAAGGAAAGGCCCAGAGGAGCCCTCCATGCAGCACACATCATGGCTTCCCTCCGTACATCGGGGCAGCCCCACTTGGCGAAGCACTTTCCAGAACTGCAGCATGGAATCATCTGGGTTGGAAGAGGCCTTCAAGTCCACCAAGTGTCTGACCATCCTGACTGACTGTCAGCTGGAGTCTCACTGCCAACCCACGTCCCAACACTGACCCACATCCAAAGCTTCTCGATGCCCATCAGTGCCACGAACAAGAAGTGAGGATCTCTGCATCCCTCGTGTTTGGCACGCTGTGAAAAAGCCGTGGTCCTTCCTGCGTGTGCTGGAGCTCTGGGCTGTTCTGCATCCAAACGTCTCTGCTGGGAGAAGGAAGGGACTTGCTGGGAAATGCCAGCATTGCTCAGAGCACAAAGCAGTTCTGGATGTGCTCATGGTAGACACGTCCTGTGGGAATTGCTGACGGAAGCCTTTTTGTCAAATTTCCCCTCATGTTTTTGATGACCCTGCTATTTTAGGGGATTTTGATGCCGATAAACTCCCAGTTCTTCAAGAACCCTGGGCACATCTGAGCTGTAAATACAACCCATAGCTTAGAGAGCCTTTCAAACAACCGAGAGCTGCTATGAGTACAGCCCGGGGTAAACGGTATTTCTTAGGCACATTGATAAAAGCCAATAATTAAATCCCTTAAGACACCAGGAACAAGTAACAATTAACAACAACTGCTCTCAAGCCAACGTCCCATCTGGGAGAGGTGGAGGCTTCAGGCACAGCGCCCATTCACGTGTCCTAAAGGAGCTTTTCCAGCACTGCCCCAATGATGTTGCAGAGGCAGCACAGTGCAGCTCCTGTCTCAGCCCTCCCTGCCTTCCTCTGAGTTTATTTTTCCTGGGGTTAGTTTGCTACCTACCTCCCGAAGCTCACTTTACAGAATTGTAATGCTGGGTAATAAAAATATATGGGGCCGGATTCTTTGCTGGCGTGAATGAGTCAGTGATGACGCACCAACGGTCAACAGGGGTGGAAAAATGGCCCGTTAAGCTAAATATACAAAATATATATATATGTATTCCCCAAAGGAAAAGCTGGAAGTCATAGTGATATATTCAAAGGGAGCCAAGGCGAAAAAAAAAAAAAAATGAATGTGAAAAACAGGCAGGCATAAAGCCAGGAGGTTTAGAGTTATAGCCACGTTTACATAAACACCGTGGCTCCAATGGCTCCTGTTGCTGGTGAGTGGGTGTTCTTTGCACACAGAGGTGCCGGTCCCCAGCAAACAGCCACTGCTTTCAGCCCTCAAATGGGGCTGAAGGATCTGAATGCAGCAATCCAGCCGCAGGGCAGGGCAGGAATGTTAGCATGGCACTGGGATGTGCCTGAAACCTCTCCTATTCCTCCTCTGCTCCTCCTGAAGCACTGGGAAAGAGGAGTAGGACTTCCAGTGCTGCATCTCTGGATGGAAACACCGTGGCCTTCAGGAATGCTGCCCAGATGGGAATTCACTCCCTGTGTCCTGAGCTCCTACCTCAGTAATGCTTTGATTTACTTGGCCAGCCTCCTGCAAAATGCCCTGCATGAGGTGGTAGCACTGCCAGCATCGGGGCTGCTTGCTTAGCAGCGGGGTCAGCAGTGCCTCGCTGGATAACAAATCTGAAGACGTGCAGCAGCAATGTGCTGGGAGGAAGAGGAAGGTAACCCTGATCTGCACTGCACGTCTGTGGGAAGAGATCTGGCACGTGGGCTGTGTCTGAGCCTCAAATGTCATTTATTCGGGTGAATTTGCTGCAAGGAGTTTTGCCAGAGTAAATAGAATGGATCTGGTCTTCTGCCCCGTTTTGTTTGGCTGTGGGTGGATGGATGGCTCCCGGGGGGAACGGTGTGCTCCAGCCATGATCCCTCCCTTCCCTGCAATGCCCAAACTAAAGCTGTGAGATTCCTCTCCTTGCAGCTTTCAGCTGGTTCCTTGGAATCCAGTGCTTCTCCTTTTCCATCCCTGCAGCCCCAGGGGAGCAGCACTGGGAGCCAGGGCTCTGCTTCTGCTGCTTCCCACAGTGAGGGCATCGTTCCATTGCTCCTGCCCCATAGCTGGGTGCTGATGTGCAGCTCGCAGAGGGGTTTAGAGGGCTCCTATAGATGTGTTACAAACCCTCTCCTTCTTGCTGCTTCACATCCAGGCTGGAAGTGCTAGAAATCCTGCTGGCTTAGGGCATAAAGCAAACTCTGACTGACGTAAGATGGGGGTTCCCACCCCCAGGTGTTGGATCAGAGTTTGCTCTGTGTTGCCAATAATTTGGGGTGTAAACTGGAATGATTAGGAAACGTATGTTATGCCAGCCCTGGATCTCTGATTTTTTTTTTTTTGCTGTGAGCACCGTGCATCTTGAGTTTAGATAGGCAGCACTTTGCAATTTAAATGGCCTTTCCGTGCTCCTTCGAGTTATTTTTTTGCTGTCACAGAGTGTTCCTCTTTTTAATTAGATTTTTTAAATGTACAATTACTGTAGAATCTCTTACAGTGTGTGAAGGAGTGTTCAAGGTTGGATGGGGCCCTGGGCAGCCTGGTCTGGTATTAAATGGGGAGGTTGGTGGCCCTGCCTGTGGGAGGGGGGTTGGAGATTCATGGTCCTTGAGGTCCCTTCCAACCCTGGCCATTCCATCATTCTGTGATAGAGACTGCCATTAAATGTTACAGAAACATAGCTGTGGGTTGTCATTCCTTTAAATACCAAACCACTGCAGTTGTCCCGTTATCCTTTGCTTGTTTTTTTTCTGTGTCCTGTGCATCCGGCAAAAAAAATAACAGAGGTTTTATTTTCCAAGTGTGTCTGCAGGCTTTGTGCCAAACACACATTTTTTCTATTGCTCGATTACAAAAGAAGCGGAAGAATCCTGGAATCCAACAGCAATATTGACAGTGCTGGGCAGTTCCAAACAATGAATTGTCTCAGCTCTCTCTGTCTCTCTTCTACTTCTGTCCTTGACTTGGAAAGAGCAAAGTTGAACAGATGAGACGTTTTTTTCCTTTGCATTTTAATCTGTATACATTTCCACAAAACAAGGAGCTCTGGAGCTTCCCATGCACGCCAGCACTTCTTAACATGAAGACTGAGTTTCTTAATACCAAATGTCAGCTGGAGCTATGGGAAGAACATTATCAGTGGCTCACGAGCACTGGGGGAAGCTGTGTGGATGTGTGCTGCTGGTTTTAATAGGAGAGGAACTGGGGCTGTTTGTTATGAGCATTTCTTAAAAGGGAAACTTACAACTTATTAAAAAAGCGGATATGAAAGCACAAACTTGTGCTTTTCTTGCCAAGAACTGCGCGCATTATGTCACTGAGTTTATTTAAATCTGGTTTCCATTATGGAGCTTTTCTGTTTCCCCATCGCCCCTGGGGATTTGCAGGCACTAAGGTGGGGCTGGGCTGCAAACCCTGCAGGGAAAGCTCAAATCCATATAAAAAGATGTAAAATTTAGGCTAATCTCAGCTCTTAATACATATTCATGCATTATGCTGCTCAGTGATACGAGGAGCCCTTCAAAACATTTAGTTTTACAGTAGCTTTAATGAAATTATGCAAGCATTATTATTGTTTTAGGAGTCAACTCCAGTTGGAGGCAGTGGGTTGTACCCAAACTGTAGCTGTGCCAACACCACAGCTATTTTCCTGTTTCCAGATTTTCTCTTGCCCACAAGAGGAGACAGATTTCTGTCTTCTCTATGGGGTGACTTTTTAGTCCCTGCAGTTTAATTCTCAGAGGGGTAATTGTAGGAACCCACAGCACAGCGCACACCCAGTATGGGGCTCAGGTGTCTGGGGCACTAAATGGGCATTGAGCATGAATTTAAAAAGCCTGGAAACTGAGGGAGAACCTTTGCTGTTCAAGGGGTTGAGCCTCAGTTGATGTGTAGCACCACCAGATTCGTGGGGTTTTTATTCTGAGCGCTGCAAACGTGCAAACTGCAGCAAAATATAAGGTCTTGGAAGGGGAAATAAAAGGAATTGGAATGCAGGCAGGGCACAGGGCAAACTCCTCGTGCTTTCTTTGTGAGCACTGTGGTGCCATCTAAAATAGGAAGCTGGGGGAAGTGCTGCCAAGTCACGCAGGCTGCAAATAACTGAAATCATTTTATTATATATGGTCAGAGGGCTGCATAATTGGGTGACTGATGGGACGGTGAGCGGGTTCTCCCAAAAAGGAGACTGGCACTTTGGGTTACGTGTAGAAAAGTTAATACAAGCTCCGCAGCTGGCTTTAGCTCAGTTAATTAATAGTGATATTAATTGCAGAGGAGGCGGCACCGCTCCTCAGGGTTGGCAGGCGAGGCCGAGTGAAGCAGTGAGACTCTGGGCAGAGAACATCCCTCAAAGAGCTCCCTCAGATGGCTGCTGAGCGGGAGGACTACAACTCCCAGCATGCCCCGGGACCGCCAGCACCGGGACCACAACTCCCAGCGTGCACCGCGCGCAGCGGCCCTCCCCGTCCGCCTCTCCTCCGCGCAGGCGCAGAGTGGGCCCGGCGCTGCGAGGGGGCGGTGGCGGCCATGGCGCTGAACAGGAACCACTCGGAGGGCGGCGGCGTCATCGTTAACAACAGCGAGAGGTGAGGTGGCGAGGGGTCGAGCTCCTCTTCTCTCTCCTTCTCCAAGACCTTTCCGTCGAAGATGGCGAGGAGCGGCCTTCTCCTGGCTCCCCTCGGCGGGTCACGTGATCCGAGGGGCTCCTCGCCGCCCCCCCCCCGCCATGTTGGGGGTTAACCCTTGATGTGCCGGCGCGGTTGGCTCAGTGCCGTCCCCATAGGCCCTGCTTGGCTCTCCCTCCTCGCTCCCAGGTGGGGCTCAGGTCCCAACCAGGTGCCCCGTTGGGTTGTGTGCCAGGAACGGCTGGCCTTGAGCCCCGTTTGGGTCACAGGGTGGCAGGAGCTCAGCCCTGCTGTGTGTTCAGCAGATGGCAGCGGTGCTGGAAAAAAGGCGCTGGGCCACAGCCGTGGGAACAGCGAGCACACGGCGCTGCCTGCCTGCCTGCCTGCCTGGCAGTGGGCTGTGTTGGCTGTCTGTCTGGCAGTGTGCCTCGCTGCATGCCTTGCTCCTGACGTGGTGGTCACCTGCCTTGGGGACAAAAGGGCTGCTTTCCTCGAGGCCAGTGGAGAGTGGGTGTAGGAGTTGTGCGTCTGGCTTCCGTTTGGGTTGGGAATCGTTGTGAAATGGAATCAACTCCAGTTGGTGGCTTGAAGTCGTGTTTGGTGAAGCCAGCACTCGCAGTTGCTTGGTGTAGTGCTGCTCCCAGCTGTCATCCCCTTGGATCAGAGGTTGCTGCTGTGTGAGCAGACAGGCAAGCTGCTGCAGCCAGGCTGCTTGTGTTGCTTGATTCAGAGTGAGCAGAGCCTCTGTGCCTTTCTGTAGCTTTGCTGCAGAGCCAAGTGCTTCCTGGCAGAAAGGAGAGGTGAATGACCGACTGGGGATGGTAATAGGCATGAATGTGCTGTGCTCCTCTACTGTGAGGGGTTGTTGTACCTGACATGGATGCTGTCATGTTAAGACAACACCACCTGCATCCGTATGGATATATTGCACTGGTCTTAATCAGGTTGGTTTCTAATTGAGGCTTAAAGAGTCAGTGCAGGGACTCGGGGTTAGAAGTCAAGTGATGAGAGAAGGGATCCAGGTCACATTTTAGTGACTGAGGTGCATTCTTGTGACCTTTGGTGGCCTCATTGCATAACCCAGTCTGAGGGGTTCCTGCTACAGCAGCCCTTTTTCTGTTGTGTTTCTTGTGCTGAACCAGTTTAGGGAAATGATCCAGCAGAAATTAAATGTAAGGTAAGAAATATATTGAGAACTTGTTGAGTTTAATTGACTACATTCACTGCCAGGCTGTGCAAACAGCAGTAGCTGTGTCAGCACTCTGAGGAAGGAACACTAGGCTGAGAACAAGCAGTCAGTACTACTGAAGTTGCTGCAAGCAGCAAAATAAAAAAGTGCAAGAGTGCAAGGCAGAGTGATCTGCTGAGTGCTGGCCTGAGGTTAAGCTAGTTTTGATAGGTCAGTAAACTCTGCATGTTTCACTTTTGCCCTAAGCTGTAACATTGAGCATTTTCTTATCTCGTTTGCAGCGTTCTGATGACCTATGATCACGTAGAAATGACCTTCAGTGATATTGAACCGATGCCAGAGGCATTCAAAGGCACCAAGAAAGGGAGTGTTTTCTTGACTCCCTACCGAGTAAGTAGTACAAGGCATTAGAAGGAGATGAGAGCTCTTCATGGTTCTACGCTTCTACACATCCACTCTCCAGTGTGTGAAAGTCTGGATAATGTACTGCTCCTGGAATTATGGCCCCTCCTCTCCTTGTGGGGAGCTCTATGGCTTCATTGCATAGTCTATCTATTTGTCAAAAGATGATAAATCTCATTAGTTCTTACCTAGGCAGCTGTTTAGTCCACCAGGCATCTTCAAGATTGAAAATAAGTGGTGGTCTGGAAATGCTGAATGGAACAGTTCAGCTACTGAATCACAGCTGCGAGTTCTCTAGGAACTGGGAGACTATTATCTGAGCAAGAGTAATGTTTCTGGAGGGCTTTATTGCCTTGAGGCATCATTTTACCCTTGTGACATTCTGAGAAGCCTGGGGTTTGCAGAAGTTTCAAGGATCTTCAAGTGTGGGAGGCTGTTTCAGTTCACCAGAAGTCTCTACAGATAATAAACTGGGGCAGTGTTTCCTGTTTATTTTAAACATCCTTTGTAATGTTGTTTCCTTTTCAGGTTATCTTTGTATCAAAGGGAAAGGATGCTCTGCAGTCTTTTGGGATGGCCTTCTATTTGTTGAAAGACTGTGAGATTAAGCAGCCTGTCTTTGGAGCAAATTACATCAAGGGTACAGTGAAAGCAGAGGCAGGAGGTACGTATGGCACTGATACAAAGCTGAACTAAGATGCAGAACTTTTATAGTTCATAGTGAAGTAATTATTCTGTGTAATGTAAAGTGGATACTGAATGCATGGGTTCTTGCAGTACTGCTAAAATTGTGTTTTTCTCTTTGAATCCAGCAGCTAAAAATATTCCCTGTCTGCTCTGTACAGTTACAGTGAACAGATTAGCTTTGTAACTGATCTCATTCCTGCCCTCTGTACGAAATTCTGAGTTCAGTCAGCCAAGTGATCTCACTGAGTAAACATCAGAGCAGGGAGCAGGCTGTGGCAGCAGCTCTGAGGGCGTCGCTTGGCCTTGGTCAGTTGAACCTTCTCTCTTAATTATGCATCCAGATCCTTCTGTGCCAAACACTCGTGGTCTGTTCTGGTTCTGTATGGATTTTAAGGTTCAAATCTCCGACATCCATTTCTTGTGCAGTTTAGGAAAAGCATTGCTGCATTGTATGGAAAATAATGGACTACCTTGAGCTTAGGGAATCTTTGAGGGCAGCTTCATAATATGTTTAATGAGAAGGTTGTGATAAACTTTTTTTTCAAGAAAAAGATACTTTTATCACAGTCCTATGCTTCTACTTTTTACAAAGGCACTTATTTCACCCAGAGCCTGATTTATTCCCTTAGCTGTGGCACTGCAACACAGTGCAATGTTCAGAGGACTTCATCCTATTACCCTGAAATCAGCCTTGTAGCTTCTGTATGGGAGCAAAACAGGACCATCCAGCGTGAGAGGAGAGCTGAGCAGTAAGGACAAACACTGCAAACTGTGTGAAAGGCAAAGTGCTTTAGCAAAATCTCTGTGAGTTCCCCCCAGAGGCTGGCTTAGTTAATGAGGATGTTGCTGCAGCAGCCAGAGGAGTCTGGCTTAGCTCAAAAGGCTCTTTTATCTACATGTCCCTGTTTCAGTACTGACACAGCTACTGCTTTGATGCATTTTGTTGGCACTCTGGGCTGTGCATGTTTTTCTTTTTTAGCCTCTAATAAGAGATGTGGCTATTTTTTTTTTTTTTTTAATTATTATTATTATCCTGACTTGAAATATTTTCTATGAACTCTAATGGATTTATGTGGTACTTGTTTTTTTCATTAAGCTCTTTGCTTCACTGGGCACTCAAACTCCCAAACTAATTTGCAGTGGACAGTTAGGTGTAGTTGCAAAAACCTTTTAGCAAATGGGATTAACAGAATCCCTGTCTTCTGCACTAATCATGTACAAAGCTAGAGTAAATCCAGCACCCCTGATAGCTTGGGCTATTGGCAGCCTGTGTGATAGCAGGCACAACTTTAGCAAGCTTTTGAATGTCTCCCTTATCAATGGTCCTATTATTCAGGTACCTCTTAATCAGAAAATGTTGTCCAATGTGAAATTTTCTGATGCTAAAGGTAATTCTGCTGCTTTCTTTGCAGCTTTTTCTTGGATATTTGGGATAAGCTCTTTAAAGAATTATAGACAAGGCCTCTGTAGCTGAATCGCAGAAATTAAATAACATCAAAATGGCTTCTCTTTATTTATTCTGTCTTTTCTCCCTGCAGGCGGCTGGGAAGGATCTGCCACCTTCAAGATGACCTTTACAGCTGGGGGTGCTATTGAGTTTGGGCAGCGTATGCTGCAGGTGGCATCCCAAGGTAGGGGAACTTAATGCTCTCTGCTGTTTGGGTTTGTGGTTTCAGGAGGCCTTGCCTTAATCTTACAGCAAGGGCAGTTTGAAGCTGGGACAGGTTGGATTCCAGTCTACGTGACTTTCAGGCTGTATCTGGAACTGCCTTAAAACAACACCTTTTTCACATCCAGCAAGCAGTGGGTTTGTTGGCATTGGAACTTGCTTGGGTTTTTTTGTTTTGTTTTCTTTGGTTTTCAGATAAGGACTCTTTAAGTTTGTTGTAGGTCTTGGCTTATATTTGGTGTTTTGCTGAAGTGAACTTATCTCTCCTTCTCCAGCCTCCAGAGGTGAAGTCCCCAATGGAGCTTATGGCTATTCCTATATGCCAAATGGATCCTATGCTTTTGCACCACCTGTGGCCAATGGGGGCTATCCGTACCCACCGCCTCCTCCAGGTAAGTCTGGGAATTGCAGACGAGGGTAATTTTAGCTAACAAGGTTTACAACAGCTAAAAAGGGAAAGAAATAACAATTTTACATTATCTTTGACGTTGGATTTGATGCCTTGTGCAGCTTTTGCTTCTGAGCATAAGGATATTTACCTTCAGCTTGCTTTGGCTGCATGTTGTGACTTCACCCTGCGGTGGTTTAAGTCCTTTATCATGTTATCTCCTTTCCTGACAGAGTTTTATCCTGCTCCCCCTATGGGAGGTGCAGACATGGGTTACATGCATCTGCCACCCCCGCCGTACCCTGGGCCCATGGAGCCTCCCTCTGGTGGTCCAGATCTGCCTTCCACTCCTGCAGGTAAGAAGTATTGTATCTTTGAGTGAATCAGCTCACAACTGCTTCATAGTGCCTGCAGCAGAAGTTGGCAGATGTTCTCTTGTTCCTTTTGACAACAGCTGTGCAAGAATCGGTGTCAAATTATTGTTTGTGAGATTGAGAATATTGAGCATCAGTGTTATTGCTCAGAAAAGTCCGAATTTTGTTCCCTTGTTGAAGTTTTGTATCTGTAATGTCCTTGGGAATATGAAGTCAACTTAGAAGCTCCAATTAAGTTAAAATTGTTTGGGAAGGAGTGGTTATGGAGCTCCTCTAACCTCCAGCTCAGTCTGAAGGCCAGCCTGCTGCTCTCAAGAGCAAACACCATCTGCAGATACATTGTTTTCATTGTAGCTGTTTTGTAGCTTGAGCATTGATAAGGTAGTGCTTTATTTACAACAGCTAATGGCCAAGAGGATGTGAAATTGTGATTATAAAAATTCCCTGTGTGCCACCAAATTTGTCTCTTCTGTTTTTTTTCTGTGACAGCTGAAGCAAAGGCTGCTGAAGCTGCTGCCAGTGCTTACTACAACCCAGTAAACCCACACAACGTCTACATGCCCACGGTATGTGCTGAAATCAAGTTTCCACAGGGATTTCTTACTTGAGAGAGAATCAGAATCATGTACAAGTTACAAAGGTTTACAGCTGCCATGCTGCGTTAGCAGTTCTACTCAGTGACACAGCAAAGTGTGTCTGAATTGATTTGTTGCATGTTTTGTTTGGTTTTCCTTAGCCACAAATTGATGTGTTTTTACTGTCTTTACTTCAGGACCAGCCACCCCCTCCTCCGTACTTCCCACCAGAGGACAAGAAAAACCAATAAGCTACCACAGAACTTCTCCACAACTCGTTGCTTTCTTACTTCCCACTTTGGCTGAATCCTGGGGCATGGTCCATAGCACTGAGGAGTAGAGCCTTACCTCAAGGCACATAGCTTTCCTGGACTTTAGTGGTAGGTATGAGCAGAGCAAGGGGAGAGATCTCAGCAGCCTGGCTTACCTCGAAGAGCTCTGAGGGTTTGCAGTCCTACCACAGTTTTTCCCTTCTCCCTGTGCACGCCAACACTAGAACTGGAGGCTCTCTTTCTGATAGTTTCCTTTATCTCTGTTTCTTCTGATACTTTAAATTATACCTCTTTAGAGTAAGCAGCTGTTGCAGAGTGATAATTAACAAGCTCATAACATGGAAACAAGGCGCCTGGGGAGTCTTGTCTTTACTTTGGGGTTCTGTGGACACAGAGGTGTCTTTAGGTAGCCCTGTAGTATCACACCCAACTTTTCCCTCTGTTACTGAAAAAGGGCTTCAATGGGAACCTTTGGAATCTCAGAGAAAATAGGTGTCCATCAGATTATGCAGATATCTGATAAACTTTCTTAAAAAACTGAGTTGTTCCTAACTGTCATAACGAATCTGATAGCCCTCCAGATTTTTTTGCTGTGCACTATGATGATGCTGACAAGCTTCCTTTTTTGAACAAAGCTGCCCTTTGCAGGGCTGATCAGCAGCATCTGACTGGTTACAGATCACATGGGAACACTCATTCTCACTTATCTCTTTTTTCCATTCCGATACGTGGGCTTGAGATCACAAAGCCCTGAGTATTATCCTTATAGTCATTAATGCACTTTTTTTTTTTCCCCTGTAACACAAGTTACACTTTGGCCAGTGAAGCATCTTACTGCTGTGAGTTAACTGGTGAATTAATAGCTCATGGGAAGAAAATAGTTGCTTCTGCCCTGGAAACACTTGAGAGAATGTATGAAAAGGTGAAGTAAGTTGTTAGGTGTAACTGAGCTGTGCAGCTGGATGTTGTTTAATGCTGTTAGTGTTCCTGGATCAGCTGTGAGTTCATTTGAATGTCAGTGCTTTGCACTGAAGGTTCAGGCATTTTCCTTCCATAACATTGATCTCATTTGCAAAGACTGTCATGCTCAGAACCTCTGCAGCACTGATCAGTGACCAGGCTGTGAAACTGCATTGTACAAAGCTTTGCATCAATCAGATTTTATTGACTTTTGACAGTGTTTGTGAGGGCGAAGATCCGTCCCAGCAAGTGTGGAGAAAGATCATGTGCTAGGGAACTGCTGAGACTTGCTGCATGCAGCCTGCTTGGAGAGAAAAAGGTCCACCTCTTGTTTTCTTTTTGTCTGAGTTTAGGTGATTAATCAAATCGCTGCTCTCTGTGCACTGACTTTTCTAGAATTGCTACTGCGGTGATGTAAAGAAATGGTTATTTTAAATATGCATATTATATAAATATATATTTATTTTGAAAATGTTTGATTAATATATTAATGTGAAATGACTTCCGAATGCAGATTTGTTTTGCCAAGACTGTGAATTAAAGCGAAATCAGCTCGAAACTTAACGCTGTGTGTGTTTGTATGGGAAGGGGCATTTCTTTTGACTGAGGCTTACTTGGGGAAATGAGAATAAGGTATTAAATGTTCACAAATGCCCATTTTCCAATTCCTGTTAGAAACTGGTGAGGCAGCTGCTCAGCATTTTACCCGAATTTGTTTATTTCCAGACCAGTTGTCTTTGTAAGAGCTCCTTGTAATCTACTGCTGGAGAAAGTAGTCAAGGAACACCTTCCAAATTCTGCTCTCAGCATTGTTTGTCCTCCCACATAACTGTATTAATGAATTTTTATGCTGGCCCATCAACTCGGGCTTGATTTCTTTAGCAAGAAGTGGGTGGAGAAGGGAAACATGAAGACAGAAAACATTACAGCCCAGTGACAACATAACAATCCCTGTTCTGTGAATTAAAATACTTCAGTGCTGGTTTTCTTGCATCTCATCAGCCCAGCGTAAGAAGCTGCAGGAAGCTTGGTACACCAGGGCTCCTGCTTTTAAAATGGCTCTTACCCATTTACACTCTTCTAGGATTAATATCTGTAAGTAAGCACAGTTTGTGTGAAGCTCCCAAGTCCCTTGCCCAGCACCACGTACTGTACAGCTCTCATACAAGCAGCACAAACATGTGAATGTTGGCTTGGTTCCTTTAATATCCTTCCACAACTAAGTGTGTTCCAGGGAAGAAACTTTTCTGTAATTACTTTCATGACAACTTGGCTCCATGGTTCAAGCTGAATCTCTCTTCTGCTGGTGTGACCAAGCAGTAAAGTCAGCAGAGAAGCTGTAATGTTTGCTGCCTTAAAAAAAAGAAAAGAAAAATATTTTGGGTGAGTCAGGCTGGAAGAAATGAAATATTCCTGTTCTTAACATGGATTTTAGTGAGCTAAATCAGTGGCTTTTGAGCTGGGAGCCTTTTACAATGGCTTCTTGGTGGATGTTGCTGTTCCTTGGTGGGGATCTTGGTGGATGTTGCCTGAGGGGAGGGAAGAAGGAGCAGGTCAAAAATGATGAGATTTGTGGTAGGTATTACAAAACTGCACAGAAAGGCAGGGTGTAGGCAGCAGTTAGTGTTGGATCCAGCAAACCTTTTGACAAACAGATTTGCAACTGATGTGTACAATCCTGTCTCTGTGATGTGACTTCAGCTCTTGGTGCCTGCTTCCCTACTCTGAGATGGGGCTGATTCCCCCCTTCTCTGGGGTGTGGTGAAATGAGGTATTTCCAAAGCTCTTAGAAATCTTATGCAAAGAGCAGTTACTGCAGGAGCTGCTCACAGACGTCCTATGGCAGGACCTGAAAGTCCTGTTGAAATCCTTTGGGCTGGGGCAGGTGTTTATCCTGAGGGGCAGGGCTTGTGCCTACCTGCTCAGGAGCCTAAGGGAGAGAGTGAGCCCTCCTCACCAAAACTAGTTCTGCTGAGTGAAACCAAGTGATAAATGTTGGCATTTTTCTTTCTTTTCCCTCATTATTTGTTGTGTGTTGGTTTGAAACGCCAGGCCGTGCAAGGTGAGATGTTAATTTTAGACAAGGGTTTTCTCCACAATCATGCTTGCCATTACTCACCCGTCTGCAAACCCTGGGTGACTCAGCTGGAAATGCTGCTTTCCTGTGCCTGAGCTGGAAACGTATTGCAGCACCCACTGTACTCAGGGCTGTCCGTGCTGTCATGGTCACTGCTGTGTCCTCCTGCCTGCCCCGGGACGACAGACTGCTGACAGGTGGATCCTGGAGCAAAAGGTATCGATTTGCGTTGTGCTGTTGAAGCTGGGCTGTGAGCCTGGCTCAGCAAATGCTGCCTATCTACATTTTGTCTTTGCCTCGCTCAGGTATCGTCTCTCCAGCCCCAGGGCAGGCAGCATTTGGGGGTCTGGGGCAGCAGAAAGCTGCAGGGGGGGCTGGGCCCACACTGCCCTCATTGTGAAAGCTCCTTCCACCCCATTCCCACTCCCCTCAGTGCCCATTTGCAGCATAGCTTGCCAAACCATCACAGGGTTTGCGCAGTCATCGGAGTTGGGGTTTAAAAGGAGAAGTGAGGGAGGGATGTGTTGAAATCCATTTTTTTTGACCATTTGCCCATTTCCGCTCAGTGCTTCAGATAAGGACAGGCGGTGGCTCCAGGATTATCAGGTGGAGAGGTAGGAAGATCAGCAGTGCTTTGTGCTCGCGGGTCCCTTTGTGCCAGGTTCTCATTTAGAGACAAGATAAATCTTAAAGGCTGCAGTGCCTCTTACTGTCCATTGACTTGTTAGCTCTGGTACCCCAAAGCAGCAGCTATAAGCCCTATTATTAACTGTGGACTCAATTTGTGCCAGGGCAGCCTGTAACCTTATATAGTCCTATAGCCTATAGGGAAAGGGGTTTCCCTTTAGGGTGAATTATTTTTAAAGGGGATGGAGGGGTTTGCTCTGTATTGTGCATATCTATGGTGCATGGCCCTGGCTGTGGGGATGGACTGGGTGCAGGGGGAGCTGGTTTGGGCAGTGCTGATGGCTGTCAATGTCCTTTGGGAACGGGGGGGTGCAAGGTCCTGCAGATTGCCTGCAGGTGGGGGCATTCAGTGGGGGTTATCTCTGCTAAGCAGAAAGCTGTGGTGCTTCTGGAAGCTGCTCTCGGTGCTGGGGTGGGTGGTGTTGCTCTGCCCTTGTTAACTTGCTACTGGTGAGAAGCAGCAGAGGTGCAAGCAGCTCGGGGGTGCTGTGCCTGCTGTGCCTTTATCTCTGCAGTTGCTCTTTGCTAAGACAGATTTTGCTTTTGCAACCAAAACCAAACGCAGAGGCGAAAGCATTTGTTTCCCAGCAGCACCGTATGTCATCATATCTCTGCTTCATTCTGATAACAACAGCATGCCGTGCTGATGTCCCACGTCAATGCTCAGCACCTCTGTCTGTAAGGCCGGGCTGGGTGTCCCATCTGCTGCTTGCCCAAGGTGAAGGGAACACTAATCCAGGATTCCTATGGGCTGAGCCCAGCACTGAGCAGCACAAAGGGCAGCACGTTGCAGCCCCAAAGTGGGAGCGGAGGGGACGTGATGCTGAGCTCAGCCTGGTCGATGTTCTGATAGGGATCAGACAGAAGGGCGCTGCTGGTGTGAAAGTCTGCATGCTGCAATCAGATGAAGTGTTTACAGGAACGAGGGCCATCAGCAGCTCTGGGTTCCCACTCATTTCCTGCTCTTTTGCTCAGTGAATTGTTCTGCCTGGCAGTAGGATGACTGCTGCCTCCTCCAGCAAGGAAAACCCCGTGGCTGTCCCCATCCATGTGTGCAATGACAGCATCAGTTCTCAGCCCAAACTTGCTCGGGGTGTCTGTGTGCTGTGGGGTGTCTGTGTGCTCTGGGATGTCCGTGTGCTGCAGTTTCTTACCCCACAGCTTTGGAACCACGCTGCAGATCCCATCCTATCCCATTTCCATTGATGCAGTCGACTTCTGCTCTCTGTGGGTTTCCCCTCCCATGCTCATGGGCTACTCCAGCACAGAGCAGCCCAGACCCCCCATGCCACCGCTGTGTGTCCTCCTCACCTCCAATGATTTTTGCCTTCCCGTGACAGCTTTCGCCCACTCTCTCCCAACCCCTTGCTCACAACTAATAGTTAAATTTGGACGTGATGCTTTCCCTTCACCCCACTGCTACCCCACTGCATGCTGCAGCTCCTCTCATTTCCGGATTTGCTCAAGGCCCGGTGTGATAAGGCTGTGGTTTCCTCTGAACACGTGAGCAAGGGGAAAGCAGGGGGGGGGGGGGAGACGCTCAACCCAGCCCTAGGATGGCGGCTGCTGATGGAGCACCTATGGGGACCCTCCCCAGGGAGGAGGAGAACCCCGAGGTAGGTGCTGTGGGATGGGGACGGCGTTCGGGGCGAGGTGGCTGTGGGAGCACAGGATGCAGGGCTGGCAGATGGGGCTGCATGGTGAAAATGTGCTCAGGTGGAGAAATGGGGTGAGGAGCGTGCGGCCAGGGCGTTGCTGGTGCTGGGGCCAAGGGAGAAGTAGGACTGAATGCCCCCAAACAACAAATTCAATGCTGCCAGCTCAGCACTCCCTTATCCATGCCGTGTTCTGCTGCAGTGTTAACCTGCAGAGGTGGTGGAGCAGAACCCAGCACAGATGGTCAGGGGATTATGGCAGCCCTGGATTTGCCATAAGCAAGCAGTGATGATCCAGTGGGTGTTTTTCTTTTCCCACTAGGAGGATCCCAAGGTCATTCTGGGTCTTGGGTTGGGCTCATCCATACCCCCCCTCCCCCAAACACCCCAGCCCAATCTGGGCTGGGTCAGTGCTCAGCACAGAAAGGACCAAACGAGTTTCAAACATTTCCAAAATATGAGTTCAAGGGTTTTTTTGTTTGTTTGTTTGTTTATTTTTGGGTCACCCCACTGCACTCTCAAGGGGCTCAAACTCTGGGAACTGTCCCAAATGGCACACAGCACCGTTATGGTCACCATCCCCAGGTGAAGATAGGCAGAAAGAACAGTGGTTTTCATTCCATTGCCTTAAGTGCCACTGGGGTTTAATGACAGCTTTGGGACAAGCTCACCCTGTCCCCACTACCCACCATCACTGTGCCCCCAGACCTGATGGGAAATTCCTCCTTCCCCTCTTGTTTCTCCAGATGGATCTCTCACACCGCTTCTCCAAGCAAGAGGTACGAGCACATGGGTTCCTGTGGTGGCATCACTGGGGCCATCAGATGTGGGACAGCACCCTTGGGTGCAGGAGGAGCATCCTGCTGCCAGCATCCCCTGGGTGCACTGGGGGGGGAGGGCAAGCAAAGACGAGGGAGGACACTGTAATGGCAGTGATGTGATGGCACTGTCCCCACAGCTGGCCCTGCTCTACCAGGAGGTGCTTTACACCATCCGGCACCGTCTGGGCAAACCCCAGCCCCAACATATTGCTGACACCCAGGAGCTCTGTGCCTATGTGCAGAAGGTGGGTGCTTCTCCATGAGACCCTCAGAAGGCAATTCCTAAAAACCCCACAGGGTTGAGGGCAGCACCAGGCTGGTCAGAAGGTTCTCCCTGATGAGCACTCCCAGCCTTCCTGCTGCTCCTCACCCCCCCAGCTGGAAAGTCCCTGCTGCCCTCCAGCCAGCATCAGCAGGGCCACATCTGTTACCATTCCTAATGTTTGTAACAGGCTTTTGGCATGGATGCAGAGGAGCACAGGACCATCATGCAGCAGGTCCAGGAGCTGGAGGTACGGAGCAGGGCAGGCTCTGTGCTGGGGTGCTGCTGGATTTGGGTGTTTGGGTTTGGGATGCCCCAGGTCTGTGCAGGGGCTGAGCCTGTTTGTGACAGGGGGCACTGAACTGCCTCTTGGGGTCAGTGACACCCTGCTGAGCACGCAGCAGCATCACCTCCTATGGCTGCTTTTCCCCTCTGTTAAGCAATCTTTTCTCTCTGCCAGAGCCCAATTTTTTGTCTGAAAGCAACCGTGAAAGAAGCTAAAGGGATTTTGGGTAAAGATGTCAGCGGTAAGCAGAGCTGGATGGGTGACTTTGCAGAAAGGGTACAGCTGCTGCTCTCAGTGGGGATAACACTGCTGGCTCTTGCAGGGTTCAGCGACCCTTACTGCCTGCTGGGCATCGAGTCCAAGAGCCAGGAGCTGGCTCACCCCGACAGCAAGAGAAGGCTGAAGGCTGTAGTCAAGGACCTCATCCCTGAAGACCAGATCCATCGCACCCAAATCATCAGCCAGACCCTCAACCCGGTGTGGGATGAGACGTTTATCCTGTAATCTGCCACCCATCCCTCCCATTGCTACTAAGGGGTCTCAGGGCTCCGAGGCTGTGTGGGGTGGGTGGGGTCTCCATTTCCACATCTCCATGTCTCCATTTCCACATCTCCATCTCTCCATCTCCGCTTCCACCTCATCTCATCTCCATCTGCATCTCTATGCCCACCTCCATCTATCTTCACTGCTGTCCTGCCATGTGCTGCTGGTGCTGCCGCAGTGACAGCTGCTGACCATTCCTTCCAGGGAGTTTGAAGACATGGAAACAGCCAGCTTCTACTTGGACATGTGGTGAGTGCAGCTGGAGCAGGGTTCTGCCTCCCAGCATGGGGCTGGGAGGGTCAGTGGGGTGACCCTTGGATCTGCACTCCTATCAAAGCACAAAAATCCCCTTGGACTCCATTTCCCCTTGGAATGTTCTCCAATCACATGAATTCCTTTCCCTTGCTGCTTGTGCTCACAGGGACTCAGACACGGTGGAGTCAGTGCGGCACAAGCTGGGCGAGCTGACGGACCTCCATGGCCTCAAACGGTGCGTGCTGCTGCCATGTGGGGCTGTGGGCATTGTGTGTTTGCTCCCTGGCTTCACTAAATGTCCTTGGAGGAAGGGAGGGAGGGCAGCAGTTCTCTGCTGTCCCCATATTGCCTTGCTTTGTCCTGATCACAGCCAGTCGGTGGTCGCGTGGATCCCTTCACCCTCTTGCTTCTGTCTTTCAGGATCTTTAAGGATGCTCGGAAGGACAAAGGGCAGGATGACTTCCTGGGGAACGTGGTCCTCCGTCTGAAGGTGAGCCCTGGATGTGAGTGAAGGCTGGGGGAGGTGACCAGGACCCCATCCCCATGGCAGCACAGCTCCCAGATCCCTGGAGCGATGCCGAGTTCCCAACACAGTGGGAACAGCTCCCTGCACCTCATCTCTGCATACGCAGGACCTGCACTGCTGGGATGACCGGTGGTACCAACTGGAGCCACGCACAGAGACGTACCCCAACCGGGGCCAATGTCACCTGCAGTTCCTGCTGACCCACAAGAAGGTAAGAGTGAGGGAACCATTGCCTTGGCAGAAAGGGCCGCCCCCCAGATCCCCATCCTCTGTGTCCTATGTCTGGGACCAGAGGCGTTGACACACTTCATACTTTGACTTTTGAGTTCAGACGGGGTTTTCCAGCCCCACGCTCTTTGTGTCCCTGTGTCCCCAGCTCTCCAACTGCTTGGGCAGAGGATGGTTATTGCTCACGTGGTTTGCATGCATTGTCTCATTCCAGAGGGCCACCACCTGCAGCCGGACGCAGCCGAGCTACACCGTGCACCGCCACCTCCTGCAGCAGCTGGTGTCCCACGAGATCCTGCAGCACCAGGTGCCGTAAGGAGAGAGGAGCAGCAGGGATGGAATGGGGGATGATGCCCTTGGGGGGTGCTACATTGGCATGTTGCACCGTGATGGGGTCAGGAGATGCCATGATGGGACCCCATGAACAACATTCCCAGCCCACTGCAGAGTTCCTGACCCAGCTGTGCATCCCGGCAGGCTGGCAGCACCTCCTGGGACGGGGAGCTGAGCCCACATGCCAGCACTGTGCTGTACCTGCATGCCACGCAAAAGGATCTCTCTGACTTCCACCAGGTCATGGCGTGAGTATTCCATCTCCATTTCTCCATTCTGGCCATAATAGCCTTGGTGAGCCCTGTGCCACCCCCTTGGGGCTCACCTCAGCCTCTCCTCAAATCCCCAGGCAGTGGCTGGCATACAGTAAGCTGTACCAGAGCCTTGAGTTCAACAGCAGCTGCCTGCTGCACCAGATCACCAGCATCGAGTACCAGTGGGTGCAGGAGCGCCTGCGGCCGGAGCAGGTGGGATACAGGGAGGTGTGGCCCTCACATCTCCTGCTGGCTCCTGGCTACATTTCACTCTTGGTGCTGTAGAAAGGGCAGGAACTTGTGGGGTACAGGGGTGCCCAGAGACCTCAGGGATGGGCTGCAGGGCATTTCTGATGGGAAACCAGTCGTGGGACCGGGACAGAGCAGGGAACCGCTTTACTAATGGGAATTTGTTCCCCATCACAGAGAAGCTGCTGCTATCCAACCATCCCTCAATCCCAAGCCCAATGATAATTAAATCTGACCCAGTTCCCGCTGCCTCCCCATGGCCTGTTTTCCCAGGGCATCCGAGCCCCATGCTGAGATTTGGAACGTTTCATGCATAGCAATGAGCTTTCAGCACAAAACTCAGCTCAACCCCTCTGGGGAGCAACTCCTGGGGGCATCAGGAGAGGAGCAAGAGCCTTGGGCTCTTTTCTATAAGGCACCATGGTCCCAGCACCATGCACAACAGCGTGTTCCCTTCCATCCCCCAGAAAGCAGAGCTGGCAGAGTCCTTCCAGTCCTTGCTGACCTATGGGGTGTCCCTCATCCGGAGGTACCGCATCATTTTCCCCCTCTCTGTCACGAGGTCCACGGAGAGGCTGCAATCCCTGCTCCGGTGAGTCTGCTTGTTGGGAGAACTGTTTGTGTAGGGTCACCTGGCGAAGAGGTGTTGTCTTGGAGGGGCTGGTGATGGGTTTTGTCAACAGTTCTCCCTTTTGCAGGGTCCTGGTCCAGATGTGCAAGATGAAAGCTTTCAGAGAGCTGTGCACAGTCAGCCCTGAACTCCCCAGAATGGTCTCTGAGGCGCTCAAGGTAATGGGGTCTCCTGTCCACCCCCTACCCCTACCTGGCTTCCTGCAAAGTCCCACGGCTGGCTTGGTCCTGCAGCTTCAGCGCTGTCACACTGCGGCTCCTCTCTTGCAGTCGGGCACAACAGAGTGGTTCCACATGAAGAAGCAGCACCTCCAGCCCATGGTGAAGGTCAGTTCCCACCTCTGCTACTCCAAAGTGATGCTACTCAGACCAGCCCTACAAGCTCAGTGCTCCTCACGTGGATCCAACGACAGCTTGCTGTCCACAAGGACAGATCATAGAAATGAATCTGTTTCAAATGGAGCTCAGGTCACTTCAATATCGCTGAGCATCCCAAATGAGCTGTTCCTTCTTTTTCAGAGCATGGAGGAAAATAGCAAAGCCTTGGCCAAACTCCTTTTGGAGGTGATAGGAGATCTCCAGCAATGCCAGAAAATCTGGAATAAATTCTTCATCAGGTGGGGTGTGGAGCTCAACCCCTCCTCAACCACCTTCCACAGGACCAAGAGCAATGAGGCAGTTTGATGCTTCATTCCCTAGTCTTTGGGTTCCACCTGCACAAGCAGATCATTGAGTGGTCCCAGTTCTGTCCTGCAGAGCTCTCTTCTCTCTAATGGAATAGGATGGGCTGGGTTGGGAGTGGCTCCTGATTCTGTTTCTCTCTTTCTAGCACCTTGAAGCTGAATCTCTTCTCCATCACCTACTTGGAGCTGGAGAGCCTGGTGAGTGATCCTGTGGCTGCTCTGCACTCGTGGGGCTGAGGTCTAAAGCCTGGCTGAGATATTTAGCTAGCCTTCAGGCTTGGCTTCTTGTTGCAAGCCTGGAAAGAAAACAAGCCAGGAAAATTCCATCTTTCCCTGCACTCCCCTAGAGTCACCATCATTATTTATCTATTTGCCTGACCCAAAAGATCTCCTGAAATGCCACATGAAAAGGAGTGCCACGAGCTGCCCCTTACCCCATGGGCTTCAGACAGCCCATACCTTCCCAACTGGACCCCCCTAACTCTGTGCCCCATGAGCTGCCCTTCTCCCCATTGTCACTGCCAGGTTGCAAAGCATGTCCAGGAGCAGCTGCGCGAGGTCGACACTGGCATGTCCAAACCCACAGCTGAAAGCCTTTTCCAGCTCTACCTGAACCTGCAGGAGCTCTACAGGATGAAGGACTTCCTCCCGAGAAGGTATCAACCTGGCCGAGGGGTGGTGCTGGGATGGGGCACTGAGCAGTCAATTTGGAAGAACACCAAAGCCTTCCCTCTCGCTCCACCCCTAATTACACCCAAGAGCAGGCCTGGTGTTGGAGTGAGCATCACCAGAAGAGTTTCAGGCTTGGACTCGATGATCCCTATGGGATCCTTACTTGGACTTGATGACCCCCTTCCAACTACATTCTATGATTTTATGCTCATTTCTCAGTGGATTTTGATGGGGGTGTCCACAAGGGGAGTTTTCTCCTTATTCTGTTTCTTGTGTATGCGATGACGGAGGGTTGGAAGCCCCGTGTCATCACCATGTTCTGGGAGAAGCTGGTTTCTCCATCCACAGGGATGGGCCTTTGGCTCTGAGTGATTTCCACCAGTGGTTCAAGGAAGCTGTGCCTCAGTGGCTGCAGAAAGCCTACAGCATCGCACTGGAGAGAGCACAGAGGGCTGTGCAGATGGACCAGGTAACCCAGGAGGAGAACATCTCCCCCAGCAACTGGGGTCCCACCAGCTCCCTCACACACTCCCAATGGGTTCTTTTTCCCATGGCTATTTACTCCTCCATGGTCCTCACTCCCATGCCTGTTTCATGGCACTGATGCCACCACGGAGGTCCTTCTTGCAGCCTGGTTTCTCTCCCTGTGATTTGGCTTATGCTATGAGCTGGTTCTTCTGGCCTTTGGAAAGAGGGGAGGGAAGGCAGCTATGGGGCCAGGGGCTCCTCACCCTGTTCTTCACTGCAGTTCAACATTGGGATGGAGAATGATGGAAGGCCTGGGCCACTGCATTCCCATCTCCTCCATTCCCCAGAGCGGTCAGGTGATGACACAGATTGAGGCTGGGTGTAGGAAAGATCTGGTGATGGTCCTAAAACAAAGGGAGCAGCTCTCCTGTCAGGGATGACTCGGTTGGTTTTGTTCTGTGCCCTCCCAGCTGACACCCTTTGGGGAGCACAACAAGCACAGCACGTCCACTGTTGACCTGTCCACCTGCTACGCCCAGATCGTGAAGACCTGGCAGCAGCTCAACTGGCCGGATCCTGAGGAAGCCTTCATGATCATGGTGAAGCTCGTGGAGGTTTGTGCTCTTGGGACTGGCAAGCAAACACGAGCAGCAGAAGTTTCCTCTTACTTTTAGAGTCAGGTCCCAACAAATGGGGCCAGTGTCGCATGCCAACATGGCGACCCCATTGGTATCATTTGTTCCTTCTCAACCATGCAGGATATGTGCAAAATCGCCCTGATGTATTGCCGGCTCATCAAGGAGAGGGCTGAGGCTCTGTCACTGTGTGAACAGAATGAGGGTGAAGCAGCCAACAGGGTTGGTATTGGGGCAGGACATTGGGTTTAGGGGGAGGCAAGATATGGCTGTTGTTTCTGAGCAGATGAGCAGCCAGCATCCTGGGTCTGGTTTTCATGGGGATCAGCTGGACCTGATGGCTGTCATCGTGGAAAATCAGGAGGGAAACCGTGTGGGTTTGGGGAGAGGGAGGGACAGGAGTGATGATAGGGATGAAGGTGGGGATGAGGATGGGAAAGAGGATGGAGATGTGGGTGAGAATGGAATGATGACAGATGAGGGTGGGGAATGAGACTGGAGATGAAAGCGAGGATGAGAACGGGATGAAAATGATGGGAATGAGGATGAGGATGGGAATGATGAGGGTGGAATTAGGGAAGGGATTGAGAGTGGGAGTATGATAGGGATGAGGATGAAAAATGGGATTGGGGTTGGAGCCAGAGGGATAACTTGAGTAATGAGCTTCCTCCCCAGCTCTGCATCGTGGTGAACAACATCAAGCAGCTGCGACTGCTCATCCTGAAGCTGCCATTGCAGCTGGACTGGGCCCAGCTGGAGCGGCGCACGGGGGCTGTCATTGGCCAGCAGCAGATCCAGCACACGCTGCACCATCAGCTCGACAGCACCGTCTGCTGTCTGGACCGTGAGGTTCAGGACGTGGTGCAAGCCCTGGCCACCAAGGTGACCACCTGCCACAAGTTGCCCTGCACCTGGCCTGAAGTGAGGAAGTTTAACCCAAGAGGATGGAAATAAGCCTCGTTGTCTGTGTGTGCTTTTTCTCCTGGCAGCTGGAAGCGGGCATCGCCAGGCACATCCAAGAGCTGTCGGCCTCCAACAATGCTCAGGATCCTGAGGATGTAAGCCCAACCCCTGTGCTGTGGCCTGCTGAATGCAGCCCCTCCTGTGCCCACCCCAATGCCCCTCTCCTCCTCTGCAGTCCATCCTCCCTCTCATGAAATTCCTGGAGTCGGAGCTGCAGTACCTCAACGAGCACCTGGTCCAGGAGAACTTCAAAAGGTGACCAAGGACCCCCTGTGAGGGGTCCTTGGTGTGGTGTGGGGGGTGTGCGGGATGAGCTTGGTTACCTGTGTGTGCCCTGTACATCCCCCAGCTCACTGCCCCCTCCCTTACCCTGCAGCCTCCTTGCTCTGCTCTGGCATCACACCTTGGCCGTGCTGACAGCGGCTGCGGGCCCACAGGTGCCCTCGGTGCAGCACTGCAGGAAGCTGCACTGTGCCCTGAAGGTACCTGGGAGGGTGGGGGAGAGGGGGGGGGTCCCTGGGTGGGTACCTGGTTGTTGCTAACAGCATTCTCCTCCTCAGAGCCTGGAGCTGTGCTTCCATGCTGAGGGTTGCGGGCTGCCTCTGGAGACCCTCCACAGCACTGACTTCCAGGTATGGTGCTGGGGGGGGCAGGATGTCCTTGGGGTGTTTCTATGGAGAGGGGTGTGTGTCCCCAAGGCTGCAGACCCTGATAGTCACCCCTTATCCTCCCTGCAGTCATTGGAGAGCCGTCTGGCCCTCTGCTCCTCCACCAGCCGCAGGCTCATCCAGAAGTACTTCAGCAACAGGATCCAGGAGCAGGTGGGAGTCAGGACAGGTCCTCAGCACCTTCCTGACACAGCCTGCCTATGGCCTCCCTCAGTCCTTGCCCTTACCCCAGGGCTGGGGTCTGTGGTACCTGGGAGGATGCTTCCATAACACCCCCTCTACCACGCTGTGCAGCTGGGCATCAGCTCTGAGAAGTACGGGGCTGTGACCATCAAGGCTCTGTACCGCCCTTCGGAGCAGAAACTGCGCGTGGAGGTGCTCAATGCTGCCAACCTCATCCCATTGGACTCCAACGGTGAGAGCACAGGCTGCAACCCAGGGTCTGCTGAGGGAAGAAGGGGGTTATTTCCCTGTATGGAGTCACCCTGGGCCAGGCTGGGGTGTCTCAGCCCTGTTGCAGAGCTGGGTGCTCTGGATGATGCCCAGGACGCCCCATAAACAGGGGGCTGATGGCTGCACCCTGCCAGGCTCCAGTGACCCCTTCGTGCAGCTCACCCTGGAGCCCCGGCATGAGTTTCCAGAGGTGGTGGCCCGCTGCACCCAGTGCAAGAGGAATGAGCTGCACCCCCTCTTCGATGAAGCCTTCGAGTTGTATGTAGAGCTCAGCACCCAGCAGCCCCCCCTCCCCATCCCTACCCCACACAAGTGGGTCCTGTGGTGGTGGGCTTTCACCTCCTGTCCCCTCTCCTTGGCCTGATGCTGGGGAGAGAGGTTGAAACACAGCTCCAAAACGGGGGGAGTGCATGACAGGATGAGATGTCCCCATGTGTCCCATCCCACAGCCTCATCCCCTCTGAGAAATGCCACCAGGACGGGGCCTGTCTGCTGCTCACTGTCTTCGACTATGACACTCTGGGTGCCAACGACCTGGAGGGAGAAGCTTTCTTCCCACTGTGCCACGTGCCTGGCCTGGATGCTGATGAGGACCAGGCTGACATGGGATGGGTGCCCCAAACACGCCTGCCCCTCATCCACCCCAAACCTGGTGGTACGGGGGGGGAGGGGGGGGGGGGGGGGGGGGTCTCACCCCCACAACCAGCCCCACAACCAACCCCACACCGTGTGTCCTCCCCACACCATATCACTCCCCTTTTCTCCCCACAGGAGATGAGATCCTGCGGCTGCTGGAGTGCAGGAAGGGGGACAAGGAGGCCCAGGCCTTCGTCAAGCTGCGCAAGCAGCGAGCCAAGCAGTCCAAGGAGACAGCGTGAGGGGCAGAGGGCCCTAAATGTGGGGGTCCAGAGCGGGATCCCATGGGAACAGCAAGCCCTACCCCTACCAGTGCCCCCCGTGGGGCTCAGGAGGGTTTTGGGGTGGTTGGGGGTTTTCCTGCAGACTAACACTACATTGCCTGGCCGTGTGCAGAGCATGGGGCAGCAGCATCGCTGTGGGGCTGGGGCAACCTGCCTCCTTGGTTGTCTGTTTTTTCCTTTTATTTTAAATTAGAAGCATGGAAGCAGGTGTGCTGGCTCAGTCTTTGTGACAGGTGGGAGAAGGCAGGGTAATAAAGCAGCACCTGCCCCATTGTCTGCTGGGGATCTGAGGGGTGAGGGTTTCCCTTAGCAGGGGTCACAGGCTGTAACACACATGGAGGCAGCAATCATCCCTGCAGATCTCCCACCACCCAGCAGTGCTCGAAGCACGGCAGCAATAATGGGTGCCACACTGAGCTGGGATTGGGGCTCTGAAACACCAGAACCAGAGGCCTTGAGCCCAGCATCACCCTGAGCCTGTGCTAAGCAGCTGCACGCTTCTGGCTCCAGAACATTCGTGGGATGCCCAGGTGTGAGAGCTGCAACACCCAGCAGGCAGCTGGCTGCTAACTCTGTATGTGCTTGGTTTTTTTTAGCTGCAATTAAACTAATTACAAACCCAGAGCTCCCCCCAGGCAGCCCCTGCCTATCCCAGGGGGTCCCTGTTTGCAGGGGAATTAAAAGCATCACCCTCCTGGCTGCCTCCTCTGCAGGCAATTGAGGTCAAGCTCTCTATGGGGGTGGAAACAAAGCTCCTTTGGTGCTGACTGCCATGGCCAGGCTTGAACCGAGGGATTAAAGCAGCCATTTGCTTGCTGCAGTCACTTGGTTCTGTCCCCATGTTGGGCAAGCAGCTCTGCAGAGCAGCACAGTGCAGCACTGAAGAAGGGTCTCTGCTTGTGGAGGGGATGCTGTTCCATGCTGGCACTTCTGCTTGGGGACACGATGCTGTCACATTACTAACAGTCCTTAATATAAACGGGGCGATTCGGCTGACTGCTGTGCTTGTAGAACAATAAGCAGTGAATGTAGCCTTAAATAAAAGCTCATTCTTGGATGCTTGAAGAGGGTAATGTTATGTCCAATGCCACACACAGCAAAACCGTGACCACAGGGGCTCTGCCAAGCTCACCTCACTCTCAGCAAGAATGTGGGGGACAAAACACACCTGGATCTGTGGTTGTGCCATTTCCAAAGGTTTCTGCCTCACCTCACCCCACCGGGTCCCCCTTATCCTAAAGGACAGCCCCACAGAAAGGGGCTCAGTGCAGGAGGGAGCTGGGGAAGAAAGCATTCTTGGGCAAGGGGAGCAGAGTGCTGTGATGGCACAGACCCCCCCCGCTCTGTTCCCCCCATCAGTCACCATGAAGGGGCCGTGCTGCACACAACCATGGACACACACACACCCATACCACACACACACACACACACTGCTTTATTCTTCACTTTTCTTTTTTTTTTTTTTTCTTAGCAAAAAAATAAAAATTTATTGTCCTCTAAAAAAAAAAACAACAAAACAAACAAAAAACAAACCAAAAATCCATCCTGCCCTTGGAAACTGTGACACAGATTGAGTTCTTTCCAGCCCCACATGCAAGTTCATTCTGCCAAGAAAAGAGTCTAAACCAGATTTCCGACAGCCAAAACACATATTTACAGAGTACGAGAGAACGACAGTTGAAATCACAGTTCTATACATGGAATCAACAACACGTTTACACACCACTGATCACCATTCTGCCAACTTCTACACGGACTCGGGGCGTTCCTGCCCAGTTCCATCCTCCTGGGGGTGGTGAGGAGGAGCTGGGCCACGAATCGCCACCAGAAATACTGCAGTGTGTAGTATTATTCTTCTTCTTCTTATTTTTTAAATGTATACTGTACTTATTTTTGTTTTAACATTGGAAGCTACGGAGTGGGGAAGCCCCAGAAATCTCTCCACTGCAGTCAGTGGTTGCAGGAATACTTCACTTGGAAAGAAACACTGCGCGATACGTCGGTAACAGCGAGGCTGCTGTTGGCCATCGCTCCAAGGAGTAAAGGAAAACACTGGTAATATTCTTCCTTCTCAGATGGGGGGGGGAAAGGAGACAGAGAGAGGAACAGCAATGGCTTACTGAGTCCGTTCGGCTCAGGTTCAGAGCACAGAGAGCACAAACCTTTGGGGGCTGCTCAAGGGGAGCTCCGTGCTGTGCCACATTGCTGCCTGCCTGGGGCTGAGCTCACCACACCTCTCAGCCCCCCTCTGCAGCTACAGCTTTGTTTTCTTGGTATCTCTCTACCCAGGAGATCGTTGTCTCAAGCCATCTGCTTCTATATTGTTTTGCTATAATGAAGTAAAAGCTTATTGACCTTTAAGATACTGTGCTTTCACAACACAAGCCAGGCTCCCTTCCTCCCCCCCTCCCCCCAGCTCTCAGCTGAGAAGCATCACCGAGGTCAATGCTTCCCAAAGGGGGAAAAAGTCCATCTCCACCAGGGAGCCTGTGTGCATGGGCAGCACGGGCCAGGGATCACATTGAGCCAGCCCTGCTGCCCTTGGTTCTGCTGGATTGCTGCACAGCTCAGAACAGGGAGCTCCTGCCTCGGCCAGAAGCTCGACAGTACATGAGAGGGGCTGTACACATCATAGCACCAGGTTGCTTTGTACAAAGTCTTCTCGCAGCACACAGAAGATGGCTGCAGAGCTCTGAAGCCATCGTGCAGTGCTGTGAGGATGGTTGATGGCCCGGGGCACAATGCTGCCTTCCCATGCCCTGCCTCAGGCAGCAAATGCTGCTCTGTTCACAAGTCACACAAAGCTGATCTCCTCTTTCCTACCGGCTGCATGAGAAAATCATTCACATTTCGGATACTTCTTTGTTTATAAAGCAGCAAACAAACTCACAGAGACCTCGATTTAAGAAGTCTTTCTTGAAGCACCGGAGGAAAGAGAGAAGAGCTGACATGCTGTGCAAGGAGAGGGCTGAGCTGGGGCCATGGCAGGGCCTGGGGACAGCCCAGGGCTGCGGGTGGCAAAGGGAAGGTAAAATGCAATGGCCACCCATAAGCTTAGATTTCTTTGGTCCTTCGGTATCAGTTTTAAAAGAGAGAAATTGTTTTACCTTTTGAAAAGGGGGGGAAAAAACAAAACAAAACAACAAAAACACGCTTACTGTGGTCTGGAATGTTCTTTATGCCCCTCTGTGGAAGCCTCATAGGAACCAAGGGGAAGCATCACCTCCCCATCGATCCTATAGGCAGACAGCGGGCAAGTTTCAGCTGAAGGGAACAGCATGAAGAGCAAAGCAGGCTGCTGGGCTCTGCCTCTTTGGAATATTAGAGACCTGAATCAAGGGTTTATGTCTATTATTTAATTTAGATTTAAAAAAAAAAAAAATACTTTTTAAAATATATATCTTCATTGGGCTTTTTTTTTCCTTCTCCCCCCACTCCTGTGCTCTCCCTCCCCTTCCTTTTTTCTCTAAAAAAAAAAAAAAAAGAGAAATGTTCACATATTTTAATAAAAGGTCTTTCCTTAAGATCAGACCGAGGCAGATGTGCTGCCCCATGGCACAGACATTCAAAGGCTGTATAACCAAACAGCATAGCCACTATATTCACCCAACAGTGTCTCTCCATTTAAAATTAAAAAAAATAAAAAACTGATGCTAGTTACAATAAAATACACATGGGGGGAAAAAAATAGCATTTAAAAAAAAAAAAAAATCCAACACATTAATGGGAAAAACAAAACAAAAGAACTACACAGAGCTGTACTTAAGAGATCATCTGGGAATGCATATTAACCCTTTCCATACGAAGGAAAGGTGGAATTACAGAAGCAAACCTAATTATGTCTTTGTGTTAAAATAGGAAGCTTTCTGAGAGGCTCTGGTAATGATTTGGGTGTTCCTACAACAACAGTGGGCTGCTGGAGGTTCCAGTGCTTTCCCAGGGCTGGGAGGGGCAGCGCAGGCAGCATCCCTGCACAAAGCAACAGTACTGAGAGAACGGAGCGGCCTTCTGGTTGAGATCCCAGCAGGTTACTGCAATCCACCCGATGGGAAAATCCAATGGATGTGCTGGTAAAGGATGTCATGGGAAAGCTCAGCTGCTGGCAGGTCTAAGTTGGAGGCATTTCTTTTCCTTAGAAAGAAGTGCACCGGACAGCGTGGCTCGTGTTGGACGATTAGTCTGTGGGATTTCCTCTTTTGTCTTTCTGAAATGATCTAAGAGATTAAATTTAAATACAAAGAGGATCCTAATGAGGAGAAAGTCCCTGAGCTCTTTTTGCAGGTGGTGTTTGGGGACAACAGCCCAAAACAAACTCAGCAGGTCAGAGACACCAGTGAGAGCTACATGAGGGCGATGGAAAGCCCTGTGCTCAGGAATGGAGGCTGAGATGGGAGGAAGGAGAGCGAGAGGGCTGCAGAGCCCTGCAATCACGTTCCTCTGATGGAGATGCTTCCTTCTGCTCTGGGCTGGCTGGTTCAGCACCCCAGCCTGCACACAGCCACACACAGCAACCTCCACACTGCTACCAAATCACAGCACCAGATAGAGCAGCTGATGAGTTCTGAACATTTAAATGAGAATTTGAAATTAAAGTCTTCTTCCTTTCTAGCTCCCTCCTCTCTTTAACCTTACTAACACAAAAAACACTGCCGCAGGGCATCATGAGACCAACCAGCTTTAGAGTTTCCCCATCTACAAGACTTTCAGATGTCCATACAAACAGTGGCTGTGTTTATAAGCTTAATTGGTAACACACACTGTGTTTTGTGCCACAGTGATGAGCAGGAAGCATCCCCACCTAGGAGCAGCAGAAAGCAAGGAATGTACATTCCCCTCAGCTCCAGCCTCCAGCTGCAATTGATTTATCAGCAGTTTGTTCCATGTGGGGCTCTCTCTCTCACCACAGGTTGGCATGAGGGCTTCTGGACTTAGCAGACAACAGTTCACCCCTGAGCTGCTGAAACAGGGAATGCCAACTCTGTCCAAAAAGTTTAAAAAAAGAGTCCTTAGACTGTGTCTGGAATTGTTTCACATGATCCAGCAGTGACTACAAAAGAGGTCTCTGTGGCTAAAAGAAAACCAATCTGGTCTCAAATGGTACAAATTCTTCAGGCAGCCACCAAATAAAGCGGTGTCTGCAGAGAACTAACCTGTGTATCCATTTCCCTTTCACAAAGGGCTTCAGCTGACACAAGGATGATGACTCAAAGGCTGCTCAAACCTGCAACATTAGCTGTATCAGCAATGATTACCGGTCACTGAATCTGGGGGCCTGGCTTGCTTTAGGTACAATATATATTTTTTTCCCCCCTTTTCTTCTTTTCATATAAATATACAAAGAGTGTAAAAAACTTTAAAAAGTGAACTTCGCTGTTTTAAACGACAGACAAAGTTTCTGCACATTCAGAGATCAGCAACGTGAGGCCCACCAGGCAGGGACCCAGCAGAGCTTCCATCGGGGAGGACAGCTTTAACCAAACTGGGTCAGTGAAAGAGCAGGGAGACCGAAGACGTGAAACAGTCATTTCAATCCACCTCGATCCTCCCCATGATCTCAACTCTTCCTCTGGAAAGCACGTGGAAGCCCCTCTTGCCCACTCTAAATCCTTCTGGAAATAGTCAAAAATTTGTTATCACCTAAATAGAAAAGAGGAGAAACGCAGACTCTTTGCAAATGGCCCTTTGATCTGTATTAAAAACAGCTCTCAAAGTTCCTCAAGAGTTAGAATTAGTGGGGCACGGGTGAGGGGCAGTTTAGATACGGGATGTAAAATATTAAAAAGTGCTCTGCAACTAATTTCTGTTTTATGTGGGTATGTGCGTGTGTGTGCATATATACACACATACACAAACACGCACGTACACACACATATATACATATATATATCTACACATACATATATATATGTACACATACATATATATGTACGTACGTATAAAGTTAAAAAGTTCTATATGATATGATCAGAACAAACGTCCTCGGAAGGTCACGACTGGAGGGCATGGGGCCTGTTGGGATGGCAGATGGGGCACTCGTCCTCCTCGGCGCACGTCTCACACAGCACTGCGTGTTGGCACGGTAACACCACCCGGTTCTCCTCCTGACACTTAAGGCATTTCACTGACTGCATCTGAAATACTGCCTGCAAGAGATGAGGACAGGGCAAAAACGTAAGCGTTGAATGGAGAAAACAAAAGGGTCCCGTGCTGCATGGTTTTGGGAACTGCGAGGGGATGGACTTGCAGCTGTCCATCCATTCACCTTGCAGCACAGCACGATGCCCTCCTGTAGGATCATTAAGATCAGAGCAGTTTGGACTGACTGGAAATTCTGTTCCTTAGGTACTGAGAAGAGGTAGCTATTTTCCTAGAACTCACATTGGCTACATTCACATAGAACTGTTTCGATAGGCTGCTGATTTCTGGCAGTAGTACAGAAAAGAAGGGCAGCTGCTATCAGGAGGAGCAGAGGCAGCAAAGCCATCCCCTGCAGAGCCCTGGCACTCACCTTATCAACTTTCTCCAGGTTTGCCCGCAACTGCTTCTGGAGGGTGTAAAGTGAAGAGAGTGAGAGGGTTTCCAGGTCAGAGAAGGAGCGCAGAAACTGAGGGTCCTGGCCTGTGTGGATCCTCTCCAGCTCCTCCTGTAGTTTCTTCACTTGCAGTTCCAAGGCTTCCCTCTGCTCCCGAGCCAGTTCACATTCCATGTTAGCTGTGTTGGCGCGATCATTTGCTTCCTCTGCCTCCTTTTTCCAAGCATCACAAGCCTGCAAGTTCCAACCAACATGGTAAAAGAAGCTGTTTAAATACTTGATCAGCCTCCAAGAGAGAATCCAAGGCAAAAATAACCATTTCCATGCACTCCTTCCCAGGAACGTATTCTGATCAACCTGCCCAGTTCCCAAATTCTGAAACCCCATAGTGCTTTGCTTCACATTCTGAGTACCCCTCCAGTTGGGCTGCAGTTCTATATATTTGGCCCATAGAGATAATGGGATGAAACTTGGCACAGCAATAAGTTCTCATACATCTAAGTGAACTGCCAGGCCCGAGAGACTGTCAAACACTTCATTGCTCATAAGACACCCTCCTATACCTCCACACTCTTTAAGAAGTTGCCCCCATACCTGTTTGGCTTGTTTCCAAGACTCTTCCCACTGCTTTATTGTGCCGTTGGCTTCATCCAGTTCTTGCCGTAGCCGTGCCAGCTCCGCAGCACCTGGACCTGACAGAAATGCAGGTGAGGTACTGGGCGAAAAACTCCCCGAAGCAAAGTGTTCCCATATGCTGCTGTTCATCCCATTTAAACCTGTTTCACAGGGAAATAGAGAGGGTTATGTCACAGGTGCTGGCAATTCCCCCATTTCTTCCCTACCCCTGTGAAATACAGGATTCAAAAACGTGTACAGAGGAAAGAGAAGATCATCCTAAGATTTATTTCACCCCTAGGACCCACGAGTCCATCACAGCAACAATTCATAGGGGAAATATACAGAGTCCCCTGCAGAGTTTTAGCATAAAATTAGTGACTGTCACTGTAGAAGGACCAACTAACCACTTCCCTATTTTAGGATGTTCAAATCATTGCTCTTTCAGGAAGAAATTCAAGGCTTAAGAGACAAAGCAACAGAGAAACAGCTGAACCAAAGCTGACTGTTTTTGCATAGACTCTGAAGTTTGCAGCTTTACTAACCAAAATACATGTACACAAAATAAGCATCCATGGGGGAGAACTGGCAGGGAAAGCTCCCACACAGGCAGAGCTGGATGATCTCCTCTGATGCCACATGCACCCATTTGATGTAGGAGTCCTTTCCATTCAGTGGTGCTTACCACTGGGTGTGGGCACTGCCAAACGTTGTTGCAGTGGAAATTGTGATTTTACAGATCAGTGTTTGCAAGCAAGCCTCTCACTGAAGGCTAACCCAATGCAACTTACTTCCCAGTCAGAGCAAGCCAACAGCAGCTGAAAAATAGTAAGTTGACTTGCTGCATAAACAAGTCACACAGCAGAGCAGTAAGGGCTCTTCACTGACTCAAGCCACTTATCATCAGTCCATTTCAGCTGCTCAGTTGAGAGCAAGTTCTAACAGAACCCCAACTCACATTTTGCTTTTAAAGCCCTTGAAAAGGAGTCTAGCACTATGCAGGCTTCCAGCAAGTCAGATTCTGCCGTAACACTGACCAAGCTCACCTCATGGCTTCTTTTTACTCCCTTTCCACCTGATGCTCTCATTGGACATTTGAAATAGCAAGTCCCTTTGATCACAAATGCCTTCTCTGCACATAAAGCATCTAACACAATGGGAACCAGCCCAGGACTAGGTCTTTTCAACTAAGCTGCAATACAAATAAGTAATAACTACACAGCAGCTTATATGCATTCAGTAAATCTTATGAAAACCACTAAGTAATAGCAGAGATGCCCTCTGAGGTCTCTTTTCTTATTACTGCAATTGTAGAAGCTGTTACAGCCAAACAAATAGGAATCACAAGGCATGGAAGCATGGCTTTGGCCTCTGCAAACAAGTGATGCAGTTACACAGATAAATGCATGCAGCAGTAGATTACAAAAGCATTTAATCGTTTTATTATGTTAAGCTGAATATTATTGATTAGAGCATATATATCACATTTGAAGAAACATTTACTTCTACTACAGACAGAATTAGTATTTACTGTTACAAACATAGAAGTCAACAGAGCAAGTGTCCTGTAGTCTTGAGGCCATCAGTTGTTTATAAAGTGGACACAGCTGGAACACTGACTTTGGTCCATACTACACCAAATATGGAAAACAATTCAATGAGCTAAGTTGGCTTAGAAGCCAACATAACCTATGAAGCTGACCCAAGAGCAAACTGCAATCCCCACCTTAACTCAGCAAAGCTGAGAACTCAATCCTAGTGAAGTCACAGCAGAATGCTGCTGATAGGAAAGGACAGAGCTCTTTTTCCTGTTCTTTTTCTCAGTCTAGAAGCATAGGGAACAGAGAGAATCGCTCCCTTGTTCTCAAGATATTAACCAGCTCTTAGTAAAGCAGCTTCTGGTACTGCTGCTGTTCTTATGGGAAGAAGAGCTAAATGGCAGCAGTGAAATAATACATTAAAATTAAAGCTAACTTAAAAGAAAATACTTACATGGCACAGACAGGCATGTACATGGGACACACACACTGTGCATTTACCTAATGATCCATGAGAAGCTGATGTCCCCAGGAACGTGTTTTCTGATTGGCTTAAGTGTCCCTGGGGCTGATGGAGGAAATGCGATGAGAGGCTGACCGGTGGAGAAGGAGAGGCAGAGTGAAAGGAGGCAGAGCTTCCAAGGGACCCGGGGATATTTACAGGAGCAGAACTTTGCAGCAAACTCCCACCTGGACAAAGAACACACAGAGAGGATGGCTATGTATGACCATGAAGCATGGGCCAGAGCACAGCGCAGGAGTTCAGAGCAGAAGGCGTTAGCTTCCCTCTCTCCTAAGACCCTCAGGATTCCCTCTACTTCTCACTGTGTTTGATTTCCCCTCTAAGCCTTTAGGAGGAGCACTGAAGCTGCTGTTCCATGAGCCACATAGGGTAAGACTCTGCAGAGTTCAGTGGACTGCTCTATCATTAGCCAAAGCAACAAAAGGTTTTCTGAGCCAACTTCAGCCCCTATTAGTCTAGAGAAGATGCACCTGGTATCTGCTGAAATACTTGGTAATGAAAAATTCCCTTTTAAAGCATGTTCCTCTGCCTTTCATACTTCTGGACAACCTGCAGTGAGAAGACTGTCATGCTGAGCCAGCTCATGACCTGATCTTTTGAAAATCAGTGACTAGCTTTAGGTATATTTGAATGTTTAGATCTATCTGCAATGAAAAATAAACAAACAAAAGCCTAACCTCCAAAGACAGAACACTTCCCTTACTCAAGAGGTTGGTCTGCCTGCCACACACACATTGAGGAAGATCTCAGCCCTGCTGCCCACTCTTCTCTGATCTTCCTTCTTGGAAGACCACCAGATAACACCCAGCCCTGACACAACAGAGGAAAAGCAGTGTGGAGGATCTCAAAGCCACTGCAGATGGTAGTGGCAGAAGCAGGGCTACCAGTAGACATTCACAATAAGCTCTCTGACCAGACTCCCATCTCTGGAAGGGAAGTGGAAGTGATATTCTTTAGGGTTCCTTCCACACCTCAGTACAACTCCAGGTAGCACAGCTCCCTTGGAAACTTTAAGGAAAGGAAAGTTAGCTCCAAATCAAAACCTATCTTCAAGAACCAGGGCAACTAGAAACTACATCACTTCTGAAAAGCTATGAGATCTCATTTTTCCCTGGATGGAGACAGATAGAAGAGGCCCCTGCCTACCTCCACACATTAAAGATGAAACAGACATTACAGGAATCAAACCAGCAGTTCATGATGACACTCTGAGACAGATGGATAGCATTACCAGGTCATTGAGTTTCCTATTACTACTAAGGAGAATTTTCTGCTTAAGATGCAAATCATTACACTTTGGACTGGTTTTAAAAGGTATCAGATACCTTCTACAGTCTACTTACATGCTATATAAAAAAAAACAAAACAACAAAAAAAATTCAAGCAAGTCCCATTCAGTCTTAAGAAACATCCCCAAGACACCTGGGCCTAATGGCAAGAACTCAGCCCTGCTAGTCAACAAGGGCAAGCTTTCACTTGAAAGATGCTCAGCGGTTGCCAGTTTGTTATCATAGCTGTTTTTTAACCAATGTTATTTGGGACTGGTTTTAGAGCTTCGTTGGGCTGGCTCCACTGAGGTGACTGGGCAACACTGCTTGGCAGAAGATAAAGAAAGCTCTGTTGCTTTCATGTACCTATCATGATGCCACTCGTGTGGGGCACTGTGCTGCTGTCAAATGTCTTCTCCAGGGCAGCCACTCCGAATTCATTCAGGTCCAGGTCATCCAAGGCAGACTCTGCCAGACACAGAGGTACCAATTATGTTATAAAGGACCAACAACTTCAAGAGATAGGATGGCCCAAAGAGCCTACATGCAGAGGAGCCTTTGCTCTCTATTTGTCAGCCTGCACAGCCCTACTATCTGTCCTGTGCAACAGTTTGGCAGAAGGGACATGGGCAGCTTTTCAGTTCAGGTTTTTTTTTGCCTGATCCAATTTCTCTTTGTCTCAAAGCATTCCTAATTGTTATGTTAAAAAAAATACAAATATTTGATGAAATAACAAAAAGTTCCCATAAGTCTTCCCCAAACAGCTCTTTCAAGTCTGTCCTCAATATGCAATAGCACTAGCTTATGAATGTCTGGGTCTGGCTTCTGCTTTGTCCCTACTTTGTTGAAGAGCCGCTTGGAAAGGAAAACCAGCAGAAGGGAACACTTCAAAATCATCTCTGAGGTTCAAAGATGAGAAAAAATAAAGAAAGGTTATGAATGCCTGCAAGTGTTACATCTACCTGAACGTACCTCATCACTAATCTTGATCAAAATAGTTTCATCCCACTCATGCCCACTCATTTCTATTATTATTTTTAACAAATTAATGAGATCACCTCAGAAATGTTGGACTAAAAAAAACAGGTGGCCAAAAAAAGTGTACCTACCTAAAAGGAACGATTCCCCACTCTTAACTCTCCTGTTCTCCTTTTCCTTACAGCCTCTGTCCCATATTCTGTAAAGGGCAAGTCCTTGCAATCTACCTGCTGGCAGTCGTTGCTATAAATTTGCAGTTTAGAATATAAAGTGTTGTAGCTGTAGAAAATACCCTGGTGATTTCCTGCCTGCTCCAAACCCTTTTCATCAATTTGACAAACCTAAAACTAAGGCCCTTTACATCATCTGACATTTCGAATAAGTGGCAGAGGCCTTCTGTTTGTCCTCTGGGTGAATTTCACCTATAATGACCTGTGGAAAACATGTGATGTCCTGGTCACAGAAAAAGCCTACAGCCTCAGGAATCTGCCAACACTGACACAGATGAAGAACTGGAAGTTCACTGGAACACCTGTGCTATCCCAGTTCTCATACCTGGCGATCCACGTCTGAGGAAGCCCTGCTAACAAGTGAAAATGGCAAAGTTACCTATGACAGACTCAACGGTGTCACTGGTTGGGTAGAAAGGAAGGGCATTGGCATTCATGCCTGGTATACTGCTGGTGCCAGCGGGGCTTGGTGGTGTCGCAGCCAGACTGGAGGTGATACTGGAGGAGATGCTGGATGTCAGTGGGCTCCCCACTGGGAGAATACCCAGTATGTCCTAAAAAAGAGAGTTTTAAAATGGAAAGATGCACAAAATAAGACATCTATATTGAAAAATCCCTACAAAAACATGCAGGCATGAGCCAAAGATCAGCAGCAAACCTGTTTCTGCCTGTTTCCAACCTGACAGATGGCTGGTGCTACTACTGGGCTGGGGGTGGGGGAGAGATTAACAGCTTTTCTTTAATTTCTGCCGACTTTTTTTTTTCCCTCCAGTATTACAAACATCCTTCAGGCTGCCCCAGAATTAACTCTTGTGACCCACAGGTTGCATGCAATCATAGGGATGGGTCACACAATCACTCACTCAGACTTAGTTCAGTACATGACTTAGAACCTGATATTAAATTTTCTTTGCCAAATCCTTGAACTTAGATGACTCTGGAGATCCATTCCAGCTCTATTTTCTGTAACTCGGAGGCACTCTTTGGCACTGCTGTCCAGGTCTATGAATTTTTCCTGAATTCACACAGGCCCAGCCATTCACAAATAATTCATCTACCAAATCACCCATCTTCATAAAATAATCCATCAAGCTAAGCATCCCTCATGGTGTCTGGACTGTCATTTACTCCCTGCAGAGTTGCCTGGATCCATAGAGACCTCCTGTCCTTGTCTGTGGCAGTGTGAGCACTAAGCTAGCAGTACTGTACCTGTTTGGGCTGTAACAAAGGTTGCTCCTGGCTCCTGTGTTCCAGTGAATGGGACTTCATTTTTGCTTGCTGCAGTAAACAAACAAAACAGAAGATAAGCAGGGAGATTAGCAGCAAAATTAAGAAGGGCTGAGTGCTGGCTTCCTTCAGAGAGGCCATGGGAAGCACAGTCTCTCATGCTCTGCTTTGGACATTGGAGAATTCAGGGAGCAGGACTATGCAGCAAACTGAGAACACCCCAACCCATTTGGCTTTCTATACACCAAGGCATCATGCTTGGAGTTATGCAAAGACTTGACACAATTACATTTGGCTTCAGTGCTGCTATATTCCTGTGCTGCCACAAAGGACATCATAGGAACCAAGACCAAATATGACTTATCTTGCCTTGCTATAAATAACTCACCACCCCTAACACTATCTAAAATAAATAAATAAAAATAGAGCCAGAAACAGTGGGAGGCACATTGCACTTTTAAATTATGTAAATATTTTGCAGCTTTGGGAAAATAAAGTATGCAGATTAAGTCTTCTCTCAATCCCTCCTAGTTCTCAGCTAGCCTTTCACAGTTTCTGGAAGAAGAGAACAGATGCAGTATGAAAGAGAACAATTTTATGGGGAAGAATCTGGATCATCTCCTCAAATTCCTTTCATTATCAACAAAAATAAAGTGATAACAGACCAATTTTAAAAGCAAAATCATCCCTCTCTCTCAAGGCTATAAAACATAACTGAGGTCAACACTGGCTGGAATTGCAAAACTGCCAACATGTATTTAGATTTCCACTATCCAGTCTAAAAATTCAGCTTCAGGATGTTGCAGCACCACGTCCTTAACGGATTTCAACCCTCTTGCCTCAAGACATCAGTCAGTGCTGAGCTACACAAGGCAGAGCTGGGAAGGATGTGGTCTCAGCAGCCTGTTGGCCTGTAACCATCTGCAGCCTGTGCTCTGCTCCTCCTATGCTGCTACGTGTGCAATAGCAATGCACAGGGAGATCAGTGACACCCTCTGCACACAGAAAGGGGGCAAAATAACTGCTCAGAGTCAGGTCTGCTTGGTTGCCAGCTCCCTCCATCTGAATCAGAGACGTGATCGAGGCACAACGCCTGCTCAATCATCTGCATCACCATCTCTGCAGGACAAAATGCACCACAGCAGCAAAAGATGCCATGCTGGCCTGAAGAAATACACCTTGATTTCTTGGCTTAAACAGTCTAAAAATGAAAAACAACCAGGTGCTGGAGAGGTATGACATAACCAGGCAGGAGAAAGAGTAGCAGCAGCAGGATCCATCCCCCATTTTCCCTGATTAGATCGTTTTCTCTGCTGAACTCTCTGCCTTTGGGCAGATTTGGGGAGGGGGGAGGGAGGGATCAAGGCCTGGCAAACAGGCAACCAAGATCCTTCTGCAGCAGGTACCATTCTCTCACACTTTTCTGAGCTGCATACAGCATGTTTACATACAGCCAAACTGCTACCACACCAACCACAGGCTTGGCTTCCTTTGTGTGCAATGGCTGCGCCGCGTTACTGCATCTGTGTGCGCCTGATAACATGCCTGCTAGATTAGCCAGCACATCCCTGCCCTGTTTGACACTCATCTGAACACAAGATGTGCTATCAACAGACGTCAGCAGCTGAAGTGAAGGCACACACAGCTGTGCCCCCTCGCTGGGAGGTATTCCTGCCAACACGGCTGGCTCCAGTACTGCCCAGCCTTACTGGAAGCTTTGTGTTTCTTCCCTCCTTTAAAGAAACAAATGAATGCATTTGTGAGCTAGCCCCACCTCTCACCACCCTGCATCCAGGTAACATCAGTGGAGTAAAGCAATTGTCACTGCTAAGCCAGTCTCCTTTAGCTCTAGAAGGGCACACACCAACATAGCAATGCAAAGGGCAAGCTGAAACTCTCCAGCTCACGCTGTGGCAGTCAGGAAAGCAAACAGAGGCCATAAATTATGAATGAAATTGAATCTTGTATGACCAGCACGGAACAAGGCTGCTGGACTTCCCAAACACCTCCTGCTTGTGGCACACAGCTCCTTCCAGTGCTGCATTTTCCAGCTTTGAGAATTTGGAACAGTATTTTTAGCCCTCACTGCTGGCTCAGCCTTACCACAAACAATGTGGAATCTGCAAACACATTTTTCATTCTAATAAAGACAGGAATTATTTGTACTAATTCTACAAAGGAAAAGAATTACAATCTTACTGCAGTGACGAGCCCAAATGCCTCCTAAGTTTTCAAATACAAGTGAACAAAGCTAAGTGCCTAATTACCAGTGTAATTTACAGCATACGTGAGAATCTCTGGTGCCCACTGCAGCCAAAGGGAATTACTGGAGATTAAAAAAGTAAGTAATTATACATTAACACAAAATTTAATCAGGACGCTTATGAGACACCTAATTTTGTCTTCAGAAGCCTAACATAAGGCAACTGTGATTACTTCCATTTTTTTGTTTAATGACTGGAATAAATAGCTGCTAACAGAAGGGTTTTTCTTACTTAATTAAAGCCACATGAGTGAGAAACTACCTGAATACAGTATCTTTGTAACGCAGCCTGGACTTCAGACATAAATGCTCATCATCTGGCTCCTTTTAAAAGCTCTATTCAAGCTCCATCTCCTTTCTCCTTGGCTTAGGCTTGCTGCCCATTTTCTCCAAAGCAGGGCCTCCCTGGCACCCTGCCTCTGCTGGCAGGAAACAGGGGTTCTCTCAGCCCTTCAGCTTTGGGCTCACTCCTCCTCTGCAACAGAGGCAACAGAGAAGGAGCACATGTTTTCTTCTTTTGTTTCTAAACAACTGCTACAAGCTGTCGAGCCTGCAAGCAGTGCCAGGATCACAGCACGGGCTGAGCTTTACCTCCAAAGATGTGTTGTATCAATTTGCAATTTCCTAAGTCACATGTGCTTTAAATAAAAACAATGGAAGCATTTACAAGAAAGCCTACGTGCATATAGCTTCATCTGTATGTGTCACTAAATCATTTTAATTAGACTAAACAGTGTTTGAGACTGGTCCCACTGCAAAGTTTGATCATATTTTCCCAAAGTTGTAAAAATAAATAAGAGAAAACCCACTGAGCCTGCTTCCAAATTCAACTGCTTTCTGCAAGATCTTATTTGGACAGGGTATTTTCACTGCTTTCTCACAGCAGTGCAATGCTAGCAGGGCAAAAAGCTTATTAAGGCTTCTTAAGACTACAGGGAAGAGTTTATATGTTGCCAGGTTGAAGGCAGCATTTATTGTTATCTCTGTTTTCAAGCAACATATGCTTTTTTCTTAAAAAACAAACAAACAAACAACAAAAGAAGAGCTTATCAGACACATTTCTGCATTCTCCTCCTCACAAGGGTAGCTAACCCATCCCCTCAATTGAGTTACTGTTTTATTACATTTACAAACCTAGTTAGGAATCTAAACCAAGCTCTGGGTTGGACACAGCTGACTTGGAAACGATGGTGCAGAGAAACTATTTAACCATAACATCAAGAAAGGAAATTCACAGAAAGAAGTTGACTGTGGAAAAGCTAATGTGGCAGAAGAGATGGAAGAGACTGAGGCACAGGGAGCAGTTGTATAAGGGGTGACTTTGAGAAGGAAGCAGCAAGGCAAGACTGGGATATTCAAAAGGGTACAATGTGTGTCATTAGGGATGTGGATTAGGTAAGAGTTCTTCAAATGAGAACGAGGAATTTAAGAAGAAGCCAAGAGAGAGAGTCAAGGGTCAAAATGATACAGCCAGAGAAACAAAATGCATTTGTAACACGCTGCAGAAATGAATGCTGAAAGCAGAAGATAAACCAAGTTATGGAGATGAAGGTAAGAGTCTGTAATGAAATCAGAGAAGGAAGGATGAGTTTCTATGAGACAACGTAGCAGAAGAAACAGTAACTCTTAACAAGGAACCTAAATATGAAAAAAGAAAGAGCAAGAAGTGGTATGTGGGAAGATACCTGGGGTCAACAGAGGACAGAATTGTCAGGGATTATGAAAACAAGCAGCTCAGCTTCTACAAACTGAGCTCACGATGGCAGCTGGGCAGACAGGAACAGATGTGGGATGGAAGAGACTCGAACTGATGCTGAAAGCACAGATCTGAGAACTGCTACTGAGTATACCCCTGTCTCCTTTTTGTTCCTTGAAAAATAAAAACACATTCAAGCTAGACTGGGCAATTTCTCCATCTTCTTCATCCCCCCCAACTCTTCCAGCCCGTGTTTCCTACTAACCTGGCATTTGAAACTCTTCAAATACTCGGTCCCCACCTGATCTTCTCGCTCAAACCCCGGTGCTTTCTTGTAGCTGCCGGCTGCTGTTACTGAATCTGGAGGAAAACCAATGCTCTCCAGGCTGTGTGGCTTTCCAATCGCACCAGGAGGAGACCCACATATATTAGATGGGCTTCCGAGACTGCTGTTCCTACAAAGAATCTAACAGAAGGAACAAGTGTCAGAAAATTACAGCTAGCTAGTGGCACCAACTTGAAGAAGAAAGGCATGACAGGAAAAGTTCATTCAGTTCTGTGTGCATCAATTTTACTGACAGTCAACACAAGTGTAAAAGCTCACAGAAAATAGGAATTAAAAACCAGGAAAAAGCCCCAGTACAGACAGGATTTATACAGTCCCACTATTATGGTTTTAATGCCAATACTTTGTACTGGAGTGCAAGCTTACAATAAAACAACCTACAGCTCTAGAAACATTTACTCTTTCTGAGGCCTTGGATATGACTAAACCTGACCAAAACCCTTCTCACTGCTCTTAGGCTGCAGTGTGATGTGGAACCTCTCTGTATTCTGAGAAGCAGTGTGAAACCTGGAAGGGTACTGTGGCAGTCAGAACAACCAAATGTATTTGAGCCGTGTGTAATACTGTATTATTTTTGTTTTTCAGTGGGAAATCTGAAAGTTTTAATGCAGGCACAATCCAAGTATTGACAGCTGCATTAAAAAAGAAAAAATAAAACAAAAAACACAAGGATTTCCAACATTTCTATTCGTTGGACTGTAACCAGGGATCACAACCACATGCAACAAGGCTAGTTTTGCACTGCAGATGAAACCACAGACAGCAGCAAAGGAGGTTTGGAGAAAGCTCCTACCTGGCTCAGTGCAGATATCCCATTTTCCTGGGATAGGAAGTTACTTGCCTGCACTGGCAAGCACGACTGTGCTTCAAGCAACTTTTAGACAACTACTCCTACCAGAGATTCAAACATGGCACAGTTGGGGCTGGCATTAGAAAGAGGGAATATCCTGCAATATTTTGATATTTTATTTTTTATACAGACATTCTGCTGTCTGTGCTTCCCTACAGTCGCAAAGTTTCTACTCACTGTGGTGGAGGTGGGGCTAGTTGGCAGAGTTCCTGATTTATTCCACACCTACAGTACAAATACAAAACAGAACAGGCCATGTGAGGCTGGCTGCCAGAGGGACCTTTTTCTTTGATTAATTCATCATGTAAAAATGATCACCAGCAAAGTCATATTTGTTTGCAAGCTACATGCAGATGCCCTATGTCTCAGAAATACACATGTTGCCTTCTGGCTTATATCTAGGGATTAGTTAAGAGACTGTTTAAAAGACTGAAGAGCTTGAGGACAGAAAAAGACCTAAACATGGAAGAGATCAACAATTCTGTTGGACTTTCAGAGCGTTTAGACGATTCATTTGAAGGATGCAGGGGTTTTGTTTTTCACTTCTTTTTAGTGATCTTTACCGAGAGAACATAGCATGCCTTGTCTTTCCAAGATCTATGCAGAATGCTATTTGCAATCAAATTTAACAGAACTAAGGCTGGCTTCGGTACTGATAAAACAAAAACTATCATTTTTTCTTATCAAAGAAAAGAACTTGACTAAACAGAGGTCCCAAATGAGTTCACCTCATTCTGATCAGCTTGGAACAGGTTAAACTCTTGCCGTTTAACTTTCTTGAAACCTTGACCAAGTATTTGATAAAGTGTATAATCTCTTCAACAGCAATGCAAACAGGAAGGACTTAATAGAAAAAAAAAAAAGTCCTCAGCAAAAATGAAGTGCTCTGGCATTCCATGCACTTGTCTTTCTTTGTGTGTTTCCACTTTCCATTCAGCATTTGAAGATCTCACCTCTCCTACGTGTAACCAGAATACAATCAGTGCTCTGGAGCATTACTTAAACATACTGCAGAGTTTAACCATCTCCTGAAGGAGGAGAAGGAGAGAATCAAGGATATTCTAAGTCACAAAACAATGTGCACAGGCTAAGCCTTTGCGTTTACATATGTAAACAAACTCAACTGTAGTTATGTACTTTAGATTATATTGGCTCACAGCCTTTAAGGAGTATTTGGAAACTGAGCCCAATGTGTACCTCCAGACAGGAAGGCGTTGGACTTCATGTACAGTTGCATTCCACCTTCCTGAAAGTGTATCAACAAGCTTTGCACGGGAAGGAAGGCTTAGAAATTTTATAGGTGAACTGACAAAACTAAACTACTGAACTGCATGTTCCAAACAAAGATATCTCTTAAACAGCATGGTGCTTAGATCTAAAAGAAAGAAGTCATAGCCTTCTGTCTTTGGATACCTAAGATTGCTCTTCTTAGGTGAAAGGAGTACATCAGCTCAAAGAAGCCCAGATTTATAAAGCACAAGACAAGGCCTCCCCACAGTGCTACCTACATTGCTAAGGTCTGGAGCATGTGGACTGGAAGGGCTGACTGGAACAGAATCACCAGCTGCTGATGGCATATACATCACTGGGCCTGCCTGCGTGGGGCTGGACACAGCTGAGGATTGCTGCAGATCTTCACTGAGCGGAGGCTCTGCAGGGAAGAAAAGCAAATGGAACATCACTCAAAGTGGACCAATTCCACCAGACCACAAGACATTTAGGAACAAGAATACTTAGTTCTGAGAGAAGAAATATTCCACAAACATCTATTTAGAAGTAGCACAGAAGCGAAGAGAAACCTTATCTGACAAAGAGCTACTTTTTAAGCTAGGATTCCTTACACTACTACTTTCACCACTTGTACAGCTCTTAGTTGGTTAACGCTGCTCCAAAATTATCTTCTTTGCATGAATTGCATGTTATTCACTCAGCTGTCTTGAACTAAGCAAGGCTTCTTTCTGTGCTAGGCACAAAGCTGATGGATACATTATAATTAGCTGAGAGAGATAAGTTTCCATCTGCTCTCAGTACAAACTATTACCAGAAGTAACATACACAGAAAGGAATACAGCTGTCAACTGCACAAAAAGAAAGTGGCACTGACTTGTAGTATTTACATCTAACACAGCTCAGCATCTTTACACCATCTACACAACTGCCACCACACCTATATTGCAATATCTTTAAAGTACTGACTTCTATACGTCTCTTGTTAACAATCAGCAAAACTCAAACTAAGAGCATATGCAGTAAATGGACTCCTGTTATTTCAGGTGAATATTTCAGTGCTCACCTTAATAAGAAAGGACTAAAAAAGTACAATTCCTTAAGATGGCACAAAAAACAGCCACAATGCAGTCAGCTAGCTGGCCAAAGAATGTTACTCTGACTTGAAAGGAACATAGTACTGAGTGCAGTTATCTGGTTATAAATAAGGCATCTCCTAAACAGAAATACTACGTAACACACAAGGGAGTTTGTTAAACACCGTTTTGTTACTGAGATTTAATTCTCTCTTAAGCTTGCTGAGTAGTTGCACTATTGTGTCTTGGGCCATTATAGCCCACAGCCCTAGCTATAATTACTGCTTGTCTGCAAGGCCTCCTATAAAAGGAACTCTGTAAACCGTAGGGAATTTACTCTCACCATTCTTTGACAAAGGCAGCAATTACTAATTCTGCCATTAACAAAGGATAATCAAGTAACAAAGATCTGCTCAAGGCCACAAACTGTGTCAGTATCAGAGCCAATCTACTGAGTTATAAGTAACCTGTTCTAATTACCGTAAATTTAACAGTGAGACTGAAGTGCAGAAATGAGCAGGAGTCATAGGACTTAGGAGCTAACTGTTAGCTGTGAACAAAACTGCCACAAAAGAACACCATCACCAGTTTACCAATGATTAAATTTATTGGCACAGGCTGCCCAGGGAAGTGGTAGAGTCACTGATCCTGGAGGTGCTCAAGAAAAGGGCAGATGTGGCAGTGAGTGACGTGGTTAGTGGGGATAGTGGGGATGGGTTGATGGTTGGACTAGGTGATCTAAGTGGTCTTTTCCAACTGTAATGATTCTATGAATTGTCCAAATTAATACTCTGCTTTTGAAAATCCTTCATGAAAGTTCTAGCTTTATGGCCCTATATTTTACACTATCTATTCCGGCCAGAAGCTCTCCATAGTTCAAATATCCATGAAAGATGAGAGAATCAGCCCACGTACGTTCTACGTGTGCAAAGGCACAGAAGGGTCCTCGGGGACAGCTGCCAGACTGCTGCATATCATTGCACTTGGTGGATTTGTAGATCTAAGGTTGGGAAAAAAAAAAAACAAAAACAACCAGACATGAACAGGAAAAACAGTGACTGGCAGCCCAGGTACAAAAGTACTATGAACAGACTCAACAGCAAAATAGAAACACAGATAAAAGGCACAAAGGCCAACAGATTTTGGAATCACCACTTCAGTGCTTTGCTTCGATGAAAGAAAAACCCACTGTGGTTATGGAAACACCAAATTATGCCCATTACAGTTAAGCTCACGCAAAGAACACCCCATACAGTCAGTTCACCCAAAGATCACCATTTGCCATCAACTCTCAGTCTCATTTGCAGCTCCGTGGAAGTGGTAAAAGGTAGGAAACAGTTGATAAATAACAGCACAGAAAATTACAGCCACATTTGCAAGGAAAATGACAAGCCATTGACAATGACTGTAGGAGATGGATCGTTCCCCCTCCCCAAGTTTGACAGGCAGTGACAATGGTTACTTTACAAGCCCAACAAAGCTTTTTGACACTGAAACACGAAGCAGACCAGGACAAGGTCTCAATTCCACATTCTGTAAGGACACTGGAATGTTCTGGGCATGCTCACTGAGCATGGTTGCTTTCAGTATCAATTTGTGAGTATTAACTGTTTAGTGCAACCATCATCAACGAAGATTTTTCCTCACAAAAACGGATGCTTAAAATCCACACCTTGTTTTCACTCCCCCACCCAGGAGTCTGCTCTCCTGCAGATTGGCATTTTCACCCAATGTTCTTACCCCTTCCCATCCAATCTATTGAATGAAAAGGCACCTCTGTCAAGCAGCTGAATTTGAGCTTCCAACATGCAGTTCCTATGAATCCCAGGACCACACTGCAAGCAGCCCACATACTCTCCCAGCTGGCACATTTATGCATCTCATCAGCCTGGAATACATTTGCTTTTCCGTTCAGCTACCCAATGGTCTGAGGAGGTTACTGTACCTCTGGATGGAACTGCTGTTCTGTGCGAGTGTGGCAGTATTGGCACGAGTCTCCATTTTCACACTTACTAGGATCTCCCCACTCATCTCCATGTTTCACGCTGGGACACGGTGAAGATCTGTGTAAACAAGGTAGTGATAGACTGTATTAGATACACCAACATGTTTCGAGCTTTGCTTCCTCAATCAGCAAACAGGCTCAGCTGCCCACCCCCCCCCCCAGCTGCACAATCTGTTTGGCTTATTGCTGCTTCCCTGCCCCCACAATGCTGCTATTACATCGTCTTCCTTCTCTTCCTATTTTTCAATGAAAGAAGCATGGCTTAGTTCTTACCTGAAACTGAATACAACCTGAACCAATGTAACTTAAAATTAGCAGCTGATGTGATTAGTGTCAGAGACGCTCGGTCTCGTTTCTCTTTCAGAACTGTACATTCATAGAAAGCTAGTAAGTTAATTGGCTAATCCTAAAACACGTAATACCCTTACACTGGTATGTTTCCAGGGTTATAGTGTGGCCATGTGGAAAAAGAGGCTGAGTCAGGTCACTGGGGAAAAGGCAAGCCCATTTTCTTTCTCCCAGCTTGGAACTGTTCTGTTTCCCAGGTCTGAATTTTTGCTGTGACCTACTTCCTCTGCTCTTTATGCTCTTACTCATTCCCTCAAACAACAGCAGAGGGAAGCAGATAGCAGCAGCAGATACTTGCACAGAAGAGGCAGTCACATCAGCTGGGGGTGGGGAAAGCAATACAGAAGTAAGCAGTGATCAGGAAGGGAGAAGCTTTCTCCTTTCCCCTTCCCAAAGCGACTGAACAGGGGCAGAAAGCACATGGCTGCTGCTTGAAAACTGACTTAGGATTCCAATTTCTCCTGAACGTCTTTGTATTAATGTTCCTTTAATGTATATATTTAATTATTGTTTTTAAATACAGGACTTCTGTACTGATTCAAAAATTTCGGTGAATGCTGGGGGTGGAGAAGGGAAGTGAGAACATCCACGGCATTTTCTCTCCTTGCTTTCTGGTCTGCTCTTATGTTTTTCAAAAAGGAACTAAGGAGAAACCCTACTGAGACCTCAACAAAAGCATTGTTATGTCAGAGGAAACATGGACCTATAACTTGGATGAAACTCGGTCAGGGAGACACAGCATGCAGAAAAATCCAGTGACAGCTGAGTGATGAGAACACCCTGGTGCCTCAAAGGCAGTTTTTAGCATCTGGTTAGGAATGCACATCCAGCTACAGTACTGGTCACAGTGTGCCTCACGATCCCCATCACTAGGCACATACAACAAGCAGCTTGATGATTCTGAATTCCTCACCCATGAAAACACTGCTCTGTAAATTTGTTTCCAGAAGGGGTCTTTTTTTTTTCTTGCACTGTTTATTTTAAAATAAGAGTTTGTATGAGAAGGGGAAGACTAACAGATACTATTTACTATAAAACCAGAGCTGTAACATGATTTAGCAACAGTTACTTATTTATTAGAGACACTGCTTCATCTTTAAGGCAGAAGTCCTTCTTCTGTTACCCTATCTCCTAGACAGAAGTTACAGTCCATCATAACTGTCATGACAGTTCTTGGAGGCACACTAAAAAACTGTCTGGCAGAGAAAATCCTAGATCCTTCCCCTTACAGACTCCTTCTATACCTCAGTACTCAGCTGGGAAACAGATGACCCAGGACCAGGGTACCTGTATTTGTGTTTTCTTGGGCTCCTTCTTCTGTCTTTGCTATTGTGATAGTATGGACAGGCATAACCCTGGCGACAGAGACGAGGCGGCTTCTTACACTGCTCTGTCTTATAGTTTCCCAAAACATACGTTGTATCTGCAAGAAATACAACCAGTTAGGAGAGATTACCATTATCTACATTTAATACACAAAAGCTTTGAAAGGAGCATGCACTCCACAAAAAAAAAACACAGACCTTTCCAGCCTCATAGAGCTTAACTGACACTCACCTTGCCACCTCGGCTCCTCACTGAGTATTTTCTCTATCATAGCATGGCTAGCAGCAACTGCAGATTGACCCTCTATGCCACCTTCTGATGTAGTCTGACCATTCTGCAAAGCCTCCATGGCCTGAAGCTCCCTTGGTGTTAAGTGAACAACAGACAGATTGAGTAAATGAAGAGACAGATAAGCACATAGTAAAAACTGTGATATCAACACAGCAACAATCCTTAAGTGGGTACATTTAATTCATACTTCTATTTTGACAGAACAATCTTTGTCAAACAGCAACTGCAATACATATTCTTCATTCCCAAGCAATTCCAGATGCACTATTTTGATGCACCCACAAGTCTCCACTGCTTAAGTGTGCTCCCTCCCCCCATTTTGAGGATCCTCCCTGGAGATTTTATAGATTTGCCTTATTGGGAATGGATGCACCATCCTCACCCCAACACCAAGTAGTTGGAGAAGCAGTACGATCCTTCAATCATCTGAGCACAGAATCACCCTTTTCATTCCGAGCTCTAAGCTCTACTAACCTGATGTCATACACAGGAGAGCGTAAATCATGGGGCCCATGAGCAAAAGCACAGTGGACTCCATTCTTTGTGCAGTTTCCCTTGGAGTCTGTCTCATGGATGCAGATTCCAGTTTTGTAATAGCGTAAGTGATACCTCCTCTCCGTGTCTCCAGTAGTTCTATGCAAGAAGGGACATCTGAGGTACAGGAGAAAGGGAAGAAAAGCCAAACTTTAGTCACACTGCTAGCGAACTCAACATTACAGGAAGACACAGTGATGATAAAGGATGCTGTAAGTTGACACACTTTTGCCAACTCTCTTACACTGTGCCTTTCAACATTACACAGAACACTTAAATCTGTCATTGCATAGTATACAATGGTTTCCCTTCCAAGCAGACAACTGGATTACTAAGCCAGCAGCAGCTTGTTATTCTAGCTGAGTAACTGCCAGGGATCTGGAAAGAGCAAGGACACTGTCAAGGCATTCTGATATACTAGCCATGATTGAAGGGACATCACATGGCACATACCATTTCCTCAGCAGCCCATTTAGACTTCATGCTGTTACTGCTTCCTGCTGATGCACTCCTACAGGGCTGCAACAGTCTATCTACAGCCAGATGCTTCCTTTGTGCAGAGCACAGGACAAGAAAAGAGAATCACAACACTACTACTTTAACTGATGTTTTGTTTTCCCCCTCCGAGGCAGAGAAAGTATCATTTACATTGAGAAATACCAAAAGAACGAGATGGAAAAGGTGAAATTCATATTTGCAGTATTAAGCCAACACTACAAGACAGCAAAGAGTTTCGAGATAACATCAGTTTTCATTTGTTGAGTTTGAGCCAGGTATGAAGCAGTGACCTAGAAGCCAAAGCCCCCAAATGTTGTATTTCCAGTCCCTTCCAGCTCTCTTGTAACAAGGAAGAAAGCACTGAAAGAGGCCTCAGGCTGGGGATTTATTCCATTTTGCTGCAGCCACGAGAACTTTACTTAATTGGGCAAAAAATATTGTTTTCCCAATAAAGAGCCTTTTTTCTGTGTGTGTTTGTACTGGCACAAAGAAAGCGAACTGAAATTCCAGCTTTCTATAGCATCTCTATATAAAACACTCTCTATATTTGACCACAGTTTGACTACACTATTTATCTTTCATATCTGTCACGTGGGTGAAGTTGTACTACTGGGTTAACCCTTTAATTGCTGGAAACGGCCACATACACAGCAGAAACCCTTGCATCTTGCTCCACTTCAGCTTACCAGCTTCACGACCAGGGATGACCCACCAAAACAAACTCTTCCCTCTTGGCATCATCACTGCAGCAGGCCTGGCACACATGGATTGCTATTACAGTTTTTACATCTGTTCTCATGTTACGTATGTTACAAAGCTGCTTTGCTGCTGACTTGCCTCATCTCTACAGGACCTGGCTGGAATCATCACCTGGACTGATTCCAAAAGCCTAATGCCAGCAGAGCAGGGTGCAGTTTTCACTTACTCGTCTCCTTCTGGGCAGATTCCTGTGGTCTCGTCATACTTGGTACAGTAAATGTCAGGGCTGTAGTTAAATGTCCCATCCCGACGGCGGATAGATCTGCGACGGCGCTGGTTGACAAAGTGCCAATGGAAGCAAGTGTAGGGCCTGTGCTGAGTGCACTTGTGCTGCACGAAGAGAGGGCACTGCTCTGTGCGGAACTCCTTCAGGTAACTGCAGGCAGAAAGGCAAAAACAGGAATTCAGGACAGGAATCATAGGGACTGCAGGCAATACTCAGTTCCCCGCAGGGTCAATGCCAGGCCAGCAGCACCCAGCCCTGAGCTGAACCCAGCATGCTTTTGTCCAGGGCTGAAGGCTGCTGGTTGCCTGTAAAGGGCAATGTGGTGCCCAGCTTGGTCAGCCCAAACATCAGTGCTAAAGGCAGCTGAAATCACTTCCTACGGTGTCTTTCAGAATCACTGCAAAGAGGCATTTCACCAACTTTGGGAACAGCTTGTGACAAAATACAACTCCTAAGTCCCTTTCCAACCATACCCAGCTCTGAATTGGAGACCTGTTGGGGTAACAAGGGTTTGCCTTGCTTAGAGATGTATGCCCAGGTAGAAAACAAACAAACAAACAAACAAACACACACAAACCACGCCTCCACATTTAAAGCTTCAAGTTACTGTGAGAAAAAGATGTAAATAAATACACAGATAAGAAACTTTTTCCTCCCTTTTCCACCTGGTTTATCTTATTTCCTCCTTCAGGCACACGATCAACCACAAGGGTAACATCAATCCACCTCTCTGTTGCAGCCTTGTGACTTCAGGACTCGCTCCTAAGGAGGGGTAACACCTCACCTCCTGGATGCTTCTGTTGCTTTACATCCATATGTCACTCTTGGGGAGTACGTGCCTCCTTTCATCCCGAGAACTAAAGAAGCCACAAGCTTTTATTTGTGACACTAATAACAGCCTCTAAACCCAGATTGTAGAGGATTACAAAATGGTTTAGATCAACACGATGATCTGACTGCGATCTGCGTGGAGGTGCTTACAAAATCCACGCTGCCTGAAACCCATCAGCTCTATTTGTAGGTAATGCACGGATGGCTGGAGGACCCAAATCCCACCAGGTGAGGCTCCAAGAGCAACACAGGGGGCACACAGCAGTCACCTTCCGGGCTCTTATCTTTGGAGGTCTGTTTAAAGTGCCTAGTAAGGCAATCTGTCAGGCAGAAGAAGTGCTGGGGTTCTGCTGGAAGCAACAGGGTGGTTTAAGCAGACAGGGATTTGTTTGGAGCGATGTGTGTACTCTGAGGCAATGCAACATAGTTCAGGAATTTGTGAAGTATTCATCCCTACACGATACCATCTCTCATAGCTCTAAATAAATGGAAATACGCCTGAAGATGTATTTACAGATGACAGCATACTAGACTCATTCAGAAAGCAACATCCATAAATAAAGCATCCTTTCCTCCCTACCCCTGGCTGACAAGAAAGCCTCAGGAAAATGCACACATTCAACAAAAGTGATTTTATTTGTTTGCTGTGAGGAGAGAATATCAGTGGCAAGAGCATTCCTACAGTGGATTTTGCCAGCATTCCTTTCTCCAAACAGGTGGGCTATGCTTTGCTCTCCACCCACAAATGCTGAGGGCTGACCAGGAGCCCTGGAACAACAGCTGCACAGGGACTAAAGCTCAGTACCAGAAAACATGGCCAGCACACAGATACAGGTCCACATGGGGTAGGTGAGGGCTAACAACACTGCCTGGCTCCTTGGCTTCCAAAAAACCAACTCGGTTCAAATGGGAGGTCCCCACTATGAGCATAATTCATTTAACAAGTGAACACTGTAATAAAATTAATTCATGCCTGGAAAGCTTTTCAAGCTCTTGGGCCAAGTACAGGTCTAGGAGGTGGAATTCTCCACATTATTTTATCTTATCAGTGCACTAAGACTTGTAACAACATTTAGGTTAGAAAGTGAATTAAGCAGACTTCATGGGTAGATAGTGATAGGAGAAGGGGAATGGATTTAAGCTAACAGAGGGGAGATTTAGATGAGGTGTGAGTAAGAAATTCTTTACCCAGAGGGTAGTGAGGCCCTGGCACTGCCCAGACCTGTGGGTGCTCCATCCCTGGAGGTGCCCAATGCCATGGCCTTGGGCACCCAGCCCATGGTAGAAGACCCTTCCAACCCAGCCATTCTGTGATTATCTGATGATTCAGTGAAATTTCAGCAGTATGATCTCAGACTGCTCTGCAGAGACAGTGTGAGGTCCCCAGTCACTCCCTTCCACCCATACATCTCCATGCACGCCTTGGAGAGATGAGGTTCATAGAACATCCCAAGTTGAAAGGGACCCATATGGATTGTTGAGTCCAACTCCTGGCTGCCCCTGGAAACCAAGGGGAGACATCAGAGCCAAATAACCCAGGTACAAAGCATCAAGCCCAACACTCCAGTCCTCTAGCAAGAGATAGGCTTTTATGAAATACTGTTAGAAAACAAACACAAAAGGAAGAAACAGAAAAGCCTTAAAAGAAACACTAAAACTGCACGATCAGCCAAGCTGAAACAGCTTCTCTTTAGCTTGTGAGGTTAAAAACACACACACTGATGAGGGATTTGGGTCTCTGGAGCCTCAATTGATGCTGAAGAGCATTTGAAAATTAATTGCATTTCATGATTGGCTAAACTCCCTGGAGAAACATTTATTATAATGTAAATGAGAGATAATTACATAAGTAAATGGCTCACCTGAGAAGTGTTTAACACCTAACTTGCTTCATCAGAAACTCATTCTTTAATGTTGTCTATTAAATAAATGATCTCTCAATCTTAATTTCAAAGCAAGACCCGCCAACAGGTGCTGCTAAACCCCCACCAGCACCCATCATCCACCATGGAGCCCAACAGAGGAAAACCAGCACTGTCACATTAACTCAGACATTTCAAGCCTTTCAATCACTGCTTCAGCTTTTTCTTTTCTCAGCCCACTATAATGTTTCAAATTACCCTCCTCCACAATGGCCTGAATGGTAAACTGCCTCACAGCCCTGTGTTTTCTTGATTGATGAAGTGAGTTTTGGCTCCTTTGGGAGAACACAGGCCACTCAACCAGCCACTTTGTATTAAAATATATGAAAGACATCCAACCCACGTGCTTTGGGAGCAGAGAAAGGATACACAGCCTGCGCGACTGATGGCTCACAGAGCAGAACGCTATGAATATTTCAGTGGTCTTTCTGCAAAGGCTCCAAACAGAAACACACAGATCCTCCCAGTGCACGTGGTCCTTGCAGGTATTTTCCCAACAGAGCTGAGAAAAGGAATTTCTGAACAATCCTTCAAACATGTAGAGCAGCAGTACCTTTTCACAGCACATCAGCCCCACGCCGTGCCTTTGCAGGAAGGGGAACTCTAACAACTGTAGCTTGCATTTCTCAACTTCTTTCTAAAGGTCTCACAAAGATACAGGAGGGGCAGACATTCCCACCCTTGTTTCATACAGGAGTTACTCCTGTATTTATTTTTAAAAGACAGAAGATTCATCAGTACTCTGCAAGTCACTTCAGGAGCACTTCCACTTGTATGTGGATGGATGTAGCATTTCCAAGCTCCAGTTTTGAAGTGGCAAGCACATAGCTTGATCTTCTGATATCACGTTATGTCAACAGCAACACCCACGTTCCTGGAGGGACCCTTATCATTTCTGATTCCTATTCAACAAAGACAAATGCAATTCTAAACAAATAAGCCACAGCTGGCCAGAAGAACACACAGCAAAGTCACCAGGCTGAAACGAGCACGCAGCTGAGCAGGACGGACACAACTGGAAATGAAGACTTATTTCACTAGGAAGACAAGAGGAGAGGTTATTAAACTAACTTTGAGAACTCCCAGAGGCTAAAGGAGGGGCAAAGTATTAGGGAGGATAAAAGATCATTCCACTTCCTCTGGGGTGGGAAGTGGGAAAGAGCAATAATTACTCCCTGTAATTTACGCTGTGGGGGAACCGCCAACTGCTCACAACTGCCAGCACAGCTCTGCTCCCTGGGCAGCACAGCAAGTGCTCGTGTCTGCAGCCAGCACTGCAGGCAGCTCCCTTCTGCCTGTACAGACTGAGCTGCTCTGGGATCTGCAGGGACAAAGAAAAGCAAGAGGAAGCTGAAAAATAGAATTAAATACACACACACACCCCCGAACATCACCAAACAACTTTAAAAAGTTGTTTTGAAGTAACTCTAACTGAGCAGCTTCATTTTCAAACTCAGTGATTGCAGCCTTGCCCTGCTCACAGTCACTGCATGCTCAGTGCTGCAGCTTTGCTGTGGCTGCACCCGCCGTGCCCAGGCAGCTCAGCACTGAGCTACCTGCATCCAGGGCTGCAAACTTTCTGCCAAACTTCCTGAAGTCACGCATGCACTGGTGTGAGCTCAACTCAGGAAAATGCACTGGTAATGCCTGAAGACAGCTGAGCTCTAAATTCTTCGTTAAAAGCCTTACCCAGAGCTCCCTGAAATCACTGGAAGACTCACAATGATGCCAAGGGAGAAATCTCTGCTTTATAGCAGAGGGGTCAGGAAGGCCGAGGAGAAAACACGGAAAAGAAAGAAGAAAAAATGACTCTTCCAAATCTCTGTTCTTCCCATAATGCTAACGCTGTCCTATTTGCAATCTTTCAATGCTAGCTCCTCTCCTTTGCAGCCCTCCTTACTCCTCCCCATCAATTCCCACCCTGCCAAAATTCATTTGGGGATCCAAGAGAGCACTGAGGCTAATCAATCAGATCTAAATCCTCTGCAGCAGGATGACACCACAGAGACAACCATTAAATAATTGTTTGGCTAATCCAGACTAAGACAGTGCCTGTAAAAGTAGGATAATAGCAAGATTGAGTCTGGTATCATCTAGATTTGGCATGTTCATGGGTGTGCGTTTACATCCATGACACAGCACTAACACACCCTTAATAGCAACTGGTTCCAGTGCTGTTTATTTTGGTGTAAGCCCAGAGCTAGGGACAGCTTTCTAAGAGTACAGTGGCTTGGAGCTGGAAGCAGTGCCTCATGTCCATGGGGCTCCATCCCTGCAGCTCTAGTGAGAAACCACTCTAGGACACAGTACAGGGGACACTAAGAAATCAGCCCAGGCCTGGCTGCTTCTTGGAAGTCCAGCCTGGCCTGTATGCTTCCACTTCATTGCTGGCATGAG